GTTCTATGCTTTGTCTATAAATTTTTACTAGTAACATTTCTACTATATAAATACTAAAAACCAAGATAATACTGAAAAAAATAGCATGAACCTTACAAAAATGGTTAGGTTTGGATTTCCTAAACTAAGATTAATGTTCCAATATGCAAACAAATTTACACTAACTACATCAACAGATACAGTTTTTCATAGTGTTCAAAGTTACAATGAACAGAATGAGTACAGAATAAACCTGACTCACATATATCAAGTCCTACACAAAGTCATCAGAAATTAACTGGTTACTTGGTATTTTAAAACATAGTCATTTTTGGCAATGTAACATGCCAAACACTTTTAGAAAGTACTGTATTTGATTTAAAGTTTTTCAACTACAGACAATGTAATCAAGATGTAGCTCAGAATATCACCTAACTTTTGAAAGCAACATTACCAATTCAGGGGTACTGTTACATTTCTACTGTAAATTAAATAACAGTTTATTCTCACTATTTCCAAATTTTATTCCATTCTTAAGACTAAGTTATTAATTATAAAATTTAGTCGTCTGTATTCATAATATAATTTATTTATCAAAAATGTGAATTCTTGAGCATTTAAGAGTACACATACTCGGATTTGGATTACGGGCCTGACTTTTCTTTCCTATTATCCTTATTAAAAGTAAAGAATCGGGCTTCCCTGGTGGCGCAGTGGTTGAGAGTCCGCCTGCCGACGCAGCGCACATGGGTTCGTGCCCCGGTCCGGGAAGATCCCACATGCCGCGGAGCGGCTGGGACCATGAGCCATGGCCGCTGAGCCTGCGCGTCTGGAGCCTGTGCTCCACAACGGGAGAGGCCACAACAGTGAGAGGCCCGCCTACCGCAAAAAAAAAAAAAAAAAAAAAAGTAAAGAATGTGAGCAGCCTCATAAACTTTCTATTTCCTCAGGCTGTTAAAATATATTGTGAAAGAATGCATGATTAATAATGTGTAAGTAAAAGTTCATTATAGAACTTGAAATGTTCTTTGTTCAAAAAGACTGAAATAAAATTTGAGCTCCCAATCATCTTACTATTTTGTAATAGTATTTTCTACATTTACCTCATGTGGCAAGAAGTTTTCTGTCTGAGTCTAATTTCATAATACAAAGATACTTTTATTGCTTCCTTTTTCCTGGGGAGTGCTATACTCTCCAAATTGACCCCCCCCCCCCAAAAAAAAAAAACTACACAAGGTAACTTGTTTCCTGTAATTTCACAAATCTAAAACACAGAGAAGGGCTTCCCTGGTGGTGCAGTAGTTAAGAATCCGCCTGCCAATGCAGGGGACAGAGGTTCGATCCCTAGTCTGGGAAGATCCCACATGCCGCAGAGCAACTAAGCCCGTGTGCCACAACTACTGAGCCTGCACTCTAGAGCCTGTGAGCCACAACTACTGAAGCCTGCGTGCCTAGAGCCCATGAGCCACAACTACTGAAGCCTGCGTGCCTAGAGCCCGTGCTCTGCAACAAGAGAAGTCACTGCAATGAGAAGCCCGTGCACCACAACAAAGAGTAGCCCCCACTCGCTACAACTAAAGAAAGCCCGTACATAGCAACAAAGACCCAATGCAACCAGAAATAAATAAAGAAAACAAATTTATAAAAATAAAACACAGAGAAAAAAGTGATGATGAAAAATAATCAACAAATGCATTAGTCATAGAAGGTCTCAGCACATTAAAAAAAATTTTCCCAACTGATTTTCATAACAAGTTCCTAAAAAATTGCAAATGCAGCACTGTAAGGTTTTGCACTAAACCTCATAATAAAGCAAGATACTACACTAATTTAGACCTAACGCTTAAGATGAAAATACAGGCTAATTGAATTGTCTGGGGATTTGGGAATCAACAGCCCTAGTTTATCTCATCATCTTTGTGTTTTCCCTATTTCCCCAGAGCTCTCAAGAATAAACTGAAAATTGAGTTTTACCTTTTTTTGAGTTTTATTTCCCTTGACCACCTTCTGTAAGAGATGCTAATAAGCAGTGAGGTAAAAAGAATACACTATGCTATAAGTGAAAAGCCTGAAGAGTTTAGAAAAGAATGGGAAGTAGATAATGAACAAATCAGACAATCTGCCTCATGTAAGTATGTGTGTGTGGTGGAAATGGGTACCATCTGCGTGAGTGACAGGATAATCAACAACAAACATTTACTAGGCCTACTATAGTTCTTTATTTCTTTTCCTTACTGTATAATCATGTAGATATTATAGTGTAGTTCAAACAAGAAAACGTATTCCATTATATACATCTGAATTTATCTGAGCAAAATATGAAAAAAAAATTAAAGATTAATTAACACATGATCAATATATATATCGAAGAGACTCAAAATCAGTGTTAACCAGGCACAAATGTTTTGTTTTTAGGACTACTGTTTTAAATACTTTCATTCTGGTGACAACCAAGAAAAGAGCTAGCAGAACCTGTGTAATTTCCAACATGAAAAAGATAAAGAAAAGAGAGCATTAATGATTTCTATCATATTATCTGTTCCAAATTATAATAGTAGTAACTCCAGAGGACTCTTTAGAGATACTGAAAGTACTCACTGTTTGTCCTGTCCAGTCTATATTTGGTCTAGGTATCAACAATAGGATCCAGGAGTAATTTTTATAAGTTCAAAACTTATTCAAAACTCAAAAAAAAAATCTAAATAAAAATGTCATAACAATAGAGCTCAGAAGTTTGCTAAATTAGATAATCCCTAACTGCCAATGAACAATTTCATTTTCGGTAACATTTCTGATAAACCTGTGCTGTTTTGCCAGCTAATAATATAGATTGTAGGCATGGTTGAAATAATGTGAATTTAAAGACAAAGGACTTTCCTTTTCTCAAGTGACAGAAACATCAGTTTTGTTGATCTTCAGACAGAGCCTACTTTCTCATCTCTGGTAGTTATTTGGTTTTAAAGTGCATTAGGACTTGATGAAGACTGTCAAAATGTGTGTGTGTGTATACATATACTTATAATATTAAATATATGTTAAAAAAACCCCAAACTACTGCTGTTTATAACGTGTTTAATGAGAATCCTTTTTGTAGTCCTAAAATAAAATATTTTGTTGGAATAAATAAGACTTTAGGACTTGATGATAATGACACTCACATGAAATTATTTTCATGGAAACTAATGTGCCTAGTCTGCTGCTTTAAAAGCTAATGTACCTACTCACAAATGAGAAATTTAAGCTTGTTACGTTTTCTTCACGAGCGCAGGAATGACTAAACAAGGAGACTTTGGATCATCTAAACACACTGATTATGGCTGTCAATAGAAGATTCAAATTAATGAATTTTCTTAAGTTCTGTATATGGACCTAAGTTCAAATTCAGAAATAGTTAAATGACATATTTAAACTGTAACTTGAAATACAACTACATATGGGTGAAAACTTGAAATACAACACCATATGTACAAAAGTTGTTATGAGTATATGTATAAGCTTAACCTAGGCAGATGTGTCCTTGTTTAAATACATATGTGGTATGCCATGGGAAAGTGCATATATAACCTGGTAAGTTCTCTTTCCTTCCAGGTTTGAACACACAAGTATTCTGTATTTTATCCCTTTTGCTGCTTCTATCAAACAAACAAGAGCCTGGTATGCCTGCCATGTCTACTATGAGGTTATCACTTACCTTTAATGATCTCAGTAAGTGAAAATATGAATACTGAACATGAAGCCGGGAAAGACAACAATGGAATCAAACAAACTTAAAACTCTCATAGATGATAGCAAGACCGTCTTCAACTGATGATGAAACAGCAAGAACCCGAAGAACAAATGAGAAAAGAAGTGAGGTAACCCTCTACAGGCAGTAAAGTGGGAGTAACCTTCTAATAGGCAGTAACAGCTGAGAGGCTGTAATGGAATCCAGATGCAATGGCACGTAAAACGAACCTGGTACTCTAGGACATCCCTGGGCGCTAACAAGGACACAAGTTCACAGGTACAGCTGTGGAGCTACTGGGACTTAAGGACTACACTTGCAAGGTTTTGGGTATTTACAGCATACACATCTAAAGGAAGGGCTCTATCACTCAGGTATACCCCAGCCTTGAGTTAATCCTATCTTAAGGCGAAGATACCTAGCTCCATTACCTACTTCCAAAAAGTGAGCTGAAATCTGAAATGAAATATAAATATTACTCTCTATCTGTCAAATAGTAATCACCTTGGTAAATTAAGATTCCACTATTAAACCTAGTGGCTAAACAACTTATTCAGGTATTCATTGTTTATACTTATGCTATTAATGGGGTAACAGTTTTTCCACTGTTATTCCATTAATAGTATAATTTTATACATTAAATGTGGTACTGCACTTCATCATGCTGATTTTCTTTCCATAGTAGATAAAAACTGTGCAAATGTAGAGTTTCTTCTGACCACTGGAATTTAGTTATTTTAACAATTCACCATGACCCGAGGCACTTTTGACAACCATGGGGTCAATGAATTGAATAAAATGGTACAGACTGAATGACTGAACTGCTCCAATGCCTATAAGTAAATATCTACGAAAATTTTCTTCAAATTTAGCAATACATCTCTTCAGTAGTCTCCTGATATTCACTAAGAATACAAAATAAGATTCTTATTTGAAAAGAAACAAGAAAATTTCATTCAGTTTTGAATTTGAATTACGTTTCCATTCATCAATCTTGCTGGTTACCAAGAAAACATGTCTCCTTAGAATTTAAAGTTGTATTTTCATAGGTGTAAGAAAACAAAAGATCTATTTTGTTCACTATGGCTGCCAAAAACTGACTAAAGACTGTGGCTATTTCTGAGAAAGCAAACAGTTTAAATTTCATTAATCTTTTAAGACTTATTTTTCAACATGTATACTGTAGCAAATACAAAGTAACCCACTTTTCAGAAGAAAGTTGCAAATGAGAATACTTGAGGTGAGGATACAAACAGTGCTACATTTACTGAGTGTTTAGGAGATCTTGGTATGGCTAATCAAGCAGACTAGCTGATATGCAGAGTCCTCAAAGACAGAGGCTACCATATCCTTTTACTGGTTTTTCATAATGACTAGTACACAGATGTCATACCACAAAACAAAACCATGCTTCAACTACTTTCCTCAAGCATTACAAAACTAGTTTCCTATTTTCAACATTGTAAAAATAGACTTGTCTTCTCCAAAGGATCTTGCTGCCCACAATGATGGATCTGTGTGTTCCCTCTTATTACTGGACCTAAAGGCATAACTGATCTTTATCATTCCTTAAATCCAATCTTACATAAAGTTGCACAATGCATGGAGTAAAAGAGGAATGAAGACAAAGCATGGAACCCTGTATAAGTGTGCTGACCCAAAAGCAATCACACCAACAGCCAGAGGAAGTGGAAACTGTGAAGTAGTCTTCAACAATTTACTGTAAAGAGACAGAAATATACATTATAATGTAACGTACATTATGAGCAAAAACTGAACATGTCAATCTCTTATACAGTTTTGAGAAAGTGTTCTAAGTGATTTTAGATAAAGTAATTTTTTTGTATAATGAATTTAACCGTCCAAAATTTTTTAAAAGATCAATACAAGTCAATTTTGGCTAGAAAAGAGAAAAATATTCTAGTAAGTAAATAACCAGTTTTGTTTATTCTTTTAGATTTTAACCACAGAAAAATACTAGTTGGACTTTATTTAGCAATGCTACCTCTAGAGATTTATCCTAATAAGAAAAAAATCAATGTTTACTAAGATATAGCTACAGAAATATTTATTTTCACCCTATTTAATATCAGCAAAAAACTTCAACCAAACAAAAAACGAAACATCTTTAATTCCTAATAGGAGCGTGTAAGATAAGACACTATTTTTAAAAGAAAAATACTATCAGGAAAGGCTATCACCTTTTTACTCTGAAAACAGAGAAACTCAGGGGTTAAGAAACTTACTGAAGGACACAGAGCCTTAGATTGAAACCCCAGATCTGCCTGACTTTAGAATATCTGCAACTATCTGCCAGAATCAACTGAAAAGGCTCCCAGAGCAAACAAGCAGTCAATGAAAAGTAGTTTTATTATGGAAAATTTTAAACATATACATAAGTAGATTAACAGTATAATGAACCTTATGGACCCATCAACCAGCTTCAAAAATTATCAAGTCATGGCCAATCTTACTTTACCTATATTACTGTCCACTTCCACTCCTGTATTTTTTGGAAGCAAACCTTAGATATCATATCTTTCAAGGGTTAACTTTTTAAAGAAAAAAAATGATTATATCCTAACAAATAAAATGCATAATTAAGGAAACAAATATAATACATTTGCAAATAAACTGTATTTGCACATAAACCATAATTACTATTATAGCTTTACCTTCAGGAACAGTCCAAGTAATTAGGAACAAAAGACATGTTTCAGACATGAAAGTATGATAAAGACCAGGAACAGATGTGAGAAAAAAAAAGATTAAAATACTATACCTTGATTTTATTGAAGCAGTGTAAGTATTTCCAAGAACTGCCATAGTTGGAATAAGGATAAATGCCAAAGGTTTACATGGATCAGGATTAAGTTTAAAGTAATACCTATGTCAAAAAGAAAAAAATAAAACATAAATCAACAAAGCATTGCCAATCATTTTAAATTCTCAGAATCAATCAATTAGATACACTTCAAAACGCTCCTATAGCGATATGGATATACGAGAGCTCTAAACAGCTCAAGAAATCATTGATAAATAAATTTTGCTCTACATCTTTTTTTTTTTTTTTTTTTTGCGGTACGCAGGCCTCTCACTGCTGTGGCCTCTCCCGTTATGGAGCACAGGCTCCAGACGCGCAGGCCCAGCGTCGGTGGCTCACGGGCCCAGCCGCTCCGCGGCATGCGGGATCCTCCCAGACCGGGACACGAACCCCCGTCCCCTGCACTGGCAGGCGGACTCCCAACCACTGCGCCACCAGGGAAGCCCTCTACATCATCTTTACACTCAAGGTTTTATATGGAGAATTATGTTCAGAAACTACTAAAGGAAATGAAAATATACCATCTGGAAGCACTTCCTTTTTACAATAAGTATATGCCTGAAAGGTCATATATAAATAATACTTTATAAAACAAATTATTTAAAACATATTTAAACTGCTCTATTTAAAAAAGATGAAAAAAATGAAGGTTTATATAAAGTAACTGTCTACAGCCTTCTAGAATCATAAATTTGTGCTCAAGTAATTTTCTCCCCAAATCTGTGGACAAAAATTTGCACCTTGATTAAAATAAGGGACAAAGGAAGGATATTAATATCTGGTGACCTGCGATTTAATTTACTGAACTTATTTTGATTCAGCCAACTTAAAAAAAAAAACTTCCAATATTTAGATAATCTGAAAGTTTTACATCATTTCTAAAAACTATATTAAGCAGGGGTTAACTATTACCTGGATAACCTGGCTTTTTCAAAAAGACAATTTACCAATAACTAAATATTCTAGAAATAACCTTAGAGAGCATTTTTAGGCTCTCATTTAACCTAGGACACTTATCAGGTAACAAAGCAAATGACAGTTTTCTAGTAAAACAGCTGATCATTTATTTTAGTTCAACGTATAGGACACATCAGAAAAGTACATACTTCCTTCGTTATTTCTATTATTTTAAATGTAAGCATTTTTCTTCCCCTCAAATTTAAGAAAATATAAAATTGATCATGAATTGAAAAATATATAAAGCACGAGCATTATGAATACTATAAGTCAGCAAAATAAAGCACATTTTCACATATTTCTAGACTCAAAGAAGGTTAAAGAAAATACAATCCCTCCCCTTTTGGGCAGATTTTGGGAAAGTTTATATTCTCACAGAAAAGAAGAAAATGTGAATATGTTGAAAATAAATTTCAGGTGATAGCTTCTTGTTCTTGAGAAAGTTTTATGAAACACGAGGAATCCTGCAAGTCTCTACTTACAGATATTTATAGTTTGAACCACATAAATTATAATTATATAAATAAAACACACCTAAGATTCTTTAGCCAATAAATTAAAGATGGCATGCTGAGTAATACAATCCATGTTAATAAGTTAATCACGGTACTGTGCATGCGAAGACTATCTTCAGCATCACTGGCAGATAAACCGAGGTGGTATACTGTAGAGTCTTTATGGTGATTGGATTTTTTTTCACTTCTTCTAGAGTGTTTGGGGTTCTACAAAGCAATAAAGTAAAAATATCAAGATATTAAGTAAAATTTAAGTTTATTACTTTATTTAGAATCATACTCAATTATCTAACAGCTAAATGAATATATCTTTCCATTACCAAATTGATATAAAATACTGAATTATCTTGTTTGAAAGTATTTTAAAGCAGTTATCAGTTACAAAATTTTTATTCCTTTGACTTGCTATTTCCACTAAGAATATATCCTCTTAAGTAATTACTTGAAATAAAATTTAAAAGATAATTGTGATAAAAACAACTTAAGGATTGACAAAGATCAAATTAAATGACAATCTAAGTCTTATTTTAATATTCATTAGGCTCACTTTTCTTAAAGTTATTTAAATTCATAAAACCTTTTAAATACTGTAAAGTCCTAACCTTTTTTTACAAAAATAAACTTTTATATTTTTCCATGTTCTTTCATACTAAAGTGATATAGCATTTTGAAAATAAAACTTACCACAGTCTGGCTATTTTTAAAAGTTGTTAAACTGGCTTGCAGATGAACAATCTATGAAAAAGAAAAGACTTTAATTTTACTTTTATTTTGAAACAAACAACATAAACCATTTTTACTGAAATTGAGAAGCACTGTAATTTGAAATTTTAAAAACCTAAATAAATAAAAGCTCATTTAAACATTTAGAAACATTCTTTTAGAAAAGATAAATAATAAATACATGTGCTTGCTATCATGGATTAAAAAACAAACAAAATAATACAAAATTCCAGAGTATGTTGGGGCCAGGATATAATGCTATATCTTCCACACTGTGTGAGCCTATGCTTGAATGGTGCCTTGCTATTGCAACTTAAAGTGTCATGTGAGTCAAAAATTTGATTATATTCAGCACAGTATAAAGAGTTTAACATGTGTTATATAATCTAAATCTTTGAAAATCTGGAACTCGATTATATAGGGTGGTAAAATGTTTACAAGAACCTGAGAAAGTCTATAAATTTACTAGGTTTGCTTAAGTATTTGAGAAAGTTCTGCTTATTGTGTCAGTTGTTTGAAATATCCAGTTAAAAAACCTAAAAATATTATATTTATAAATCAAATTAATTTATATTTGTAAATCAAAATAATTCTAAATAGTTTTTTCTGATGGACATATTTTTCCTTTGTAAACCAAAAGTAATCTATAATGTGCATGTATTAGTGTTAAATCCAGATGCAAATAAACCTTTGTTAAAAAAAGGAAAAAATTATTATCCTTTCCAGTATCAACTGTCTCTACATAAGATTAATGTGGAGAACATGCAGTTGTATAAGCTGTCCTGAAAAGCTGTCAGCCTTCTTAGAAGTGTTTTTCATTTCCTTAGTAAAATTGTCAGCTTAATTACTTTTATCGTGTCTTGTGATTCTTCAGCAACATTTGTAACATTCTACATTATTTCAGCATGATTGACAGCCTGATTCCACTGACATAACTTTTTGTTTTGTCTATAATCCACGTTTAAAGGGAGGTATGAATAAAAACCGTTCTAGTAAAATGTTTTTTAAAAAGTTAACATTACTTGCCAGAGCATCAAGCAATATGGAACAGATTATATCTCCTCCCTTCCCTTTCTTTTTAACAAAGAAACCCACTGAGATTAGTAACTTCAGTTCTAGTTAACTATATATATTTGAAATAGCTAAGATGTTTAAAAAAACTTTACACGTAGGCCTGTTATATAACAGCAGTGATCAAAAAAAAAATTTTTAACAACACCCATGGGAAAGTCTATGCCTGTCTGATACAAAGCTCAGGCCTTCTGACTTTACTGATTTAACATACCTTAAACACATAGTAAAGATAAGTAAGAAGGATGGCAAATGCTCCACAAGTTGTCCAACTAACTATGATCAAAACAACTGTCAAAATGGGCAAGTCTGGTGATATTATCTTCATATCTTTAGGAAGTTCAGAGGGCCTGGAATAACAAGAGTAAAACTTTCAAAAGCATATTAACAGTTATCTACACAGTCACATATAAGCAGAAAACAATACAGTGGCTCTGCCAGGCTCTCCTTATTAATGTGCAAGTATTACTATAAGGTAAACAGGCTTTTTAAAATAAAGGTGAGGGGTGATACATATTTTAAAATTCTTTTATACATTGTGATAGTTTCTCTTGCATTTATATATACTATGGGTAATACGTGTACTAAAAAAGAAAAAATATTATTAAAGATAATTATTAATTATAGGCCCTGTGCCATACAATTCCAATCTTGATAGGAAGAGAAATACTTTTGTTCTTAAAGTCTTGAGGTCACTCAGACATGTGATGGTGTTAATGTCAGAAGCACCTCAGAAGGGTGGAGGAAGAAGCATCATACCATAATCCCCTCTGCGACAGTAAATCACATAACATGGCTGGTGAGGAAATGGAAACTAGATCACTGGTTTACCAAAAGAGCATATCAGCAACTTCAAACTGTCTTTGGATCATAATAAACCTCTAGGCAATGTTTTTGGAGCTCTGATACATTTCATCTTATCTGATCCTAAATATCAAGATTGGAGTCTCAGGTTTGATGGAAAATCAACATATAAAAGCATTGCCAGAGAAACACTTTGCCCTTGGAAAGATTTACAACAGTGAAATTTAAAAATACCTGTGTAATCTGTCAAATTTTTTTGATTAACTCTTGAGCACTATGGTCAAAATCAAATGTAGCATTTAACTTGAAATAAATGGTAACCTATGACAAAAACGTAAGTTTGAACACTAACTCCATGTTTTGCTAGTTATACATTTTTCCTCAGAAATTATAGTTTAGTGAAAGCAAGTTAATTTTAAGGTACCCTATCAGAATACAGTTTTTTTCTTAAGAGCAATAAGAAAGGTTTTCGTCATTCATTTTTACCTTTTCAAAGTCAGCCACAATGAAGAAAGGAGTCTCACAGATGTAGAAGAGAGTAGGCCACCCCAGTAGGCAGTACATGTTCCAAACAGAAAAAGAATCAAAGATACAAGGGGGAAACACATACTCTGACTAGTTAAAACGATGGCATCTAATTCTGGTAACAATAACATATCCCAAAATTCTTTAAACCATTTGTATCTGTGGATAAAAGAAAACATACAAAAAATAAAAGCAAATAATACAATAAAAGCAAAAAAACCCCAACAACTCTCATTAAAGGATTTAATATTTGAAGTGTTTGACCATTCACTACAGTCCCCAGCGTACCATGATATTTCACTTATAATTCTACTGAAAAAACAAACTTCAATTCCTGGTAGGGAACTACTGAGTCTAGTGATCTTCAAGGATCTGAGTCTCAAGTCTCAATGCAGCTTTACTGCTCTCATTGATCCTTGTAATGAAGTAATAACTGGTCTTTTTTTTAAGTTAGAAAGCCAATAGTTAGTTATAAAGACAGAAGAAAAGACATCTAAGTAATGGTTTTTAACCAAACAAAAACAAAAACAAAACCTGAATAAATTAAGAATGCAATGTTAAGTAGGGTAGAGAGATCTAAAATATACTCTATATGGGAAGTAATGAAAAGTGTTCTGAGGCACTGTTTCACCAATATCCTATATTGCTTTGTGTCCATGAATCTGGGATACCCAAAGCTCATGTACCACATACATTCTTTTGAAAATGTTAAAGTCCTGGTATATTTACAGTCTAAGTTTAGACTGATATATGTGTATATATATATTATATATATAAGTTCAATAATTACTTCTAAACTATTGAAGTAAATGTTGATGTACTTATTAGGCCTTTGCCTAAGAGAAAAAGTCCATTTAATAAAACAAGTCAATTGCCTTATTTGTATGGAAATTTATCCTTCATATTTGAGCCAAACATAATACTTTATATATAAAACAAAATTAAAATTATTATCACAGATAATAAAACTTACCCCAACAGAAACTTAACCATAATTACAAAAGGATCAACTTTGTATGGTTTGGCTTCTTTATCCAACATAGCAGCATATTCTAAGCAGTGACCTAGTGATTTAAAAAAAAATTATATGTAGTAGAGAATTCACAGTAATTAAGTATGAGACATATTATATGCTGCATTGTTTGTTAGAGCAACATATTTCATGTCATAGAAAGCAAGGGTCTTTATTACTACCACAGAGACTCTTCTCAAAAGATTAAAAATTACCCTAATTTGAAAGACAAATCAAAACTACAATGAGGTACCACCTCACACTGGTCAGAATGGCCATCATTAAAAACTCTACAAATAGCAAATGCTGGAGAGGATGTGGAGAAAAGGGAACCCTGCTACACTGTTGGTAGGATTGTAAATTGGTGCAGCCACTATGGGAAACAGTATGGAGGTTCCACAAAAAACTAAAAAATAGAAATAACATATGATCCAGCAATCCCACTCCTGGGTATATATCCAGACAAAACTCTAATTCAAAAAAATACACGCACCCCTATGTTCATAGCAGCACTATTCACTATAGCCAAGATGTGGAAACAACCTAAATGTCCATCAACAGACGAATAGATAAAGATGTGGTACATATATACAATGAGATATTAGCCATAAAAAAGAAGAAAATAATGCCATTTGCAGTAATGTGGATGCAACTAGAGATTATCATACTAAGTGAAGTCAGTCAGAAAAAGAAAGACAAATATATGATAGCACTTATATGTGGAATCTAAAATATGACACAAATGAACCAATCTATGAAACAGAAACAGACTCATGGACATAGAGAACAGACTTGTGGCTACCAAGGGGGAGGGGGTTGGGAGAGGGATGGAGTGGGAGTTTGGGATTAGCAGATTGAAGCTTTTATATATAGAATGGATAAACAACAAGGTCCTAATGTATAGCACAGAGAACTATATATCCTATGAAAAACCAAAATGGAAAAGAATATTAAAAAGAATGTATATGTGTGTGTGTGTGTGTGTGTGTGTGTGTGTGTGTGTGTGTATGACTGAATCACTTTGCTGTACAGCAGAAGTTAACACATTATAAATCAACTATACATCAATTTAAAAAAGTTAAAAAAAGAAAAAAATAAACATAAACCTACCATAAAAATTTACTCTAATTTACTGGTTCTCATACAAAAGTACATAGTCAATCATCATTTGTGAAACAAATTCAGGAAGCCAAGGCTATGGTTTTGTCATTTGTATTTTTATAAAGCTCCACAGGTGAGCTATTTTTTAAAAACCGTTTTACTGAGACATAATTCTTATAACTCAAAATTCATCCATTTAAAGTGTATCCAATTCAGTGTTTTTTTTGTATATTCATAGAGTGTGCATTAACAACCACAGTCAGTCTTAAAACATTTTCATTACTCCCAAAAGAAACTGTTCCCCTTAACTGTCACCTCCAATGCCTCCCCATTCCTAGGCAACCACTAATCTACTTTCTGTCTCTACAGATTGGCTTACTCTGAAGATTTCATAAAAATGGAATCATAAAATATGTGGTCCTTTGTGGCTGGCTCCTTCAACTTAGCATATTTCCAAGATTCATCTATCTTGTAGCATTCAGCACATTATCTGTTCATCAGTTGACGGACATTTTGGTTGTTTCCACTTTTTGGCTATTATAAACAGTGTTTAGTGCGGATGTGTGTCTTCAGTTCTCTTGGGTCTATACCCAGGAGTTGCTGAGTCATATGGTAACTCTGTTTAACCTTTTGATGAACTGCCAAACTGCTTTCCAAAACAGCTATACCATTTTACATTCCCACTAACAGTATACAGAAGGTTGCAATTCTACAAATCCTCATTAACACTTGTTATTACCTGTCTTTTCTATTATAGCCATTCCAGTGATTTCTAATAAGCATCTTTGGTTCAGACCTACTTCTTTAATTGATTTGGGACACAATCCCATACTTAAGTCCTCTAGATTAACCAATATCATATATCCCCAGGGTCTCTGGACTATCTAGATATAAATCCCAAATGTTTGAAAATCAATTGTCAAGTCACTTAAAACTAAGAAGAATGAGGTGTCTCTTCTAAATTTCCAAAAATTATATTCAAGTATAGGAGATGTCATATTGCCAGAATAATCTTTTAATTAAAAGGTTGGATCTGAGCAGATCACATTAAATGTTGCTTACTTCTTCCTGGAATATAATAGGTTAAATCAGGTTAAAATGAACACTAAAGGCAGACCTGAAATTGCAAAAAAGTCACTGAAAGAAAACAAGCAGCTGTGAAAGGATGTGGCACCATGGAAACGGTGGAGGGGATTTTTGTACTGCTTTTGTATGTTTTGTCCCCAGTCTCCTTCCCTCTTGCCTCCTCTGATTATCATTGTACAAGCCCGGCAAGTGTGTGAGGCTCCTGGGAAATTGTTCTAACGGCTATACTCTAGAGAAGGCTTTGTCCAATGTACTATACAGTCTATATTTTCTTCTCCAGATCCACGTTCTACCCTTTACTTTGCTCTGAATTCTGGGAGGCTGACTTTTATGAACTGGCTTCTAGTTGGGTTCAGTGAACAAGAAGCACTGGCAGATAGGAGGACAGAAGGAAATAAAGTTAGTGTATTTATTTCCCTGCCTTCTCCCTGCTGAGCCACACGCTGACAGTGGCCACAGCATTTCTGTACCCAAGGTTCAGGTGCAGTACTGCTGCTCTCTCCTGCAGCTCTCTAGGTTTGCTCCCTCCCTTGCCCTGATACCTAGGAGTATCAGATGGCTCTGTTGCTAATTTGGTATTTTATCATTTGTTGTTGGTTTCCCTTAACCCTATACATACCTTTGAAATAGTCCCTTCAATTAAACTCTTAATTATTCCATTCAGTGTACCCAGACCTAAATGATACAGTTGACACAGCCCAAATATTACAGTGAATGCCAACTATGTGCTTGGCCCTATGTCAGGCACCGGGAATAGAATGGAGAACAAAATCCCTGTCAACCAGCTTCTATCTCTTAAGAGATCCTCAGAACAGAGGGAATAAACTTTAGACACAAGGGTATAAAATGGAGAAAACAAGTAAGAAATTTTCTTGGTAATCTCTTAAAATTTAAGAGGATCTCCAACTCCTGTAACCTTGAGAGAGAAGGGTTGTGAATTTTCAAGAAATAAATGTGTCTTCATTAGCTACACGTAGGATAAAAAAAGTAGTAATGAAGCATTGAGGAAGGAAGATAGGGAGGGAGGAATAGAAACATTCTTACCTGTTGAGAAAAGAGAGTATAACTGTCCTCCATAAGCAAGAAGGATACTAGATATAACATAGGCAGGAAGAGCTCCACCATGAAATCTAACTACCTAGAAAACAGGCAAATCAATGGGCAACTTCTGCATGTTCATGTTAATGAAATAAATATACTTTCACATGAAATAAAAAAGTTGTTTTTCACTTTATACATTTTCTGACATGACTAAAAGATATCTTGAGTAATGGGTATAAAAATTCTAAGCAAAATAAATGCTAAGAATATATCGCATATTGGAAACATGTTATCTGAATTTTTCATCAAAGGCATAATAGAGGCAATATATAATTGTGTAGCATATGCTACAAAATTTTTTACAAGGAATGTTTATCGAGCATTTAATATGTTCCAGGTATAATACTAAACATCTTAAATGCATTATCTCATGCTCTCCTCCCAAAAATCCTTTCATATAGTTCTTATCCCTATTTTACAGATGAAGAAATTCAGGTACAGGGGGCCCAAGTAACTCGCACAATTAAGAGACAAGCAAGTTACTTACTTGTTACCTCTCTTCGCTCTTAACAGTAAGATAGGGACAATAATAGTACTTACCTTATAGGTGGTTTTAAGGATTTAAACACGTTCATTTGTGTAAAGCATTTAGAATATGAACTTGAACATGATAAACTATCAAAAATATGAGCTGCTGTTGTTAGGCTTTTATGTCCTTCACCATCTTTGGAAATGTTGTGGAATGGAATTTAACTCAAAGCCTAAGTTCATAACCATTATGTTATAGCACCTCAAGTCATTCTATCAGCTGATCCAATCTCCATAAAAACATACATATAACAAAAACAGAGTGTAAGTTCTTCTTTTAATGTTAAAGTTTTAAAAGGAAATTAAAGCATGTTCTCCAATCCACAGATTTTTTAAGATAAATGTACAGACTCCCCCGTCAATCTAATGAAAACTATGGAAATGAATGCTTACACAAAATGTTAAGTAAAATTTCAGCAAGTTCAACGTCTCCCTGAAGCTCCTCTGTGGATTCCCAGATTAAAATTGATAAGACTCAAAAAACATAAAGCTCATACTCATGATTTATAGTTTGTAGCTTTGAGTGAAAGGACAAGAGAGTTGAGTGAAAGGGAAAAGGTCATTTTCCTACCTATTACTAAAGGATGCTCACTGCCTGCTAATGACACGCTAGGAAATATATAGCATACTTTAGTTATTAAGTGTGTTGGAAGGATAGTTAAGTAGCATAACAGGCTCAGAGTCATACTCCTGAGTTCAGGCTACAGCTTTGCCTTTCACTAGCTCTTAGGCAACTTATTTTACACCTCCTTCTCTCTAGGCCCTTATCAGTAAAATGGAGTTAAATAGATAGCACTATCTCACAGGGAGTTTGAGGCTTAAATGTGTTCATTTGTGTAAATCATTTGGAATAGTAACTGGCACAAGTAGGTGATCAGAAAATATTCACTGTTATTATTAACCTTTAATGCCCTTCACGGTTTTCAGAAATCTTGTAAGAGGTCCTACATAAAATTTCATTTTAATGACTGAGTGTCATTGTTATGAGTAGTAAATATGATACTGGGCCACAGATACAACAATCAACAATCATAAACTGGCCTCCATGGGTCATATTCAAATTGTATATGTGCTTCATTTGGTTTAGTATTTGGCATAGTATTTCTTTACATTTTGAATTAGATGCCAACATTGAAAAATTAAAATATTTTATCTAAAAATTCAGATTTCTAGTTTCTCTTAAAATCTAAAGATTGGGCAACACTGGGTTTCATTCCTACATGGAAATGATTTATTAAGAGTTTAAATAATCCTCTTGAGAAAGCAACTTTCAGTTTATTTTCTGTCCTCTCTTTCATAAGAGTAGACTGAACAATATGTAAGTATATTTTCCTTTCATTTTTTTTTTAAAAAATTAATTTTATGAAAAAGTTATCTAATCAAAGGCTAAAGATTCTCCTAAGTGGTTTCTCTTTAGTCCTCTTTCCAGTCTTCTTTGACTGAATCAGTTAACACTGAAAATATGTATGATTTTTAAAAGACAAATAAGATATACAAAAGCAAATTCATTCTCCTACTGTTCTCAAGCTAAATTTTGAAACAAACATGAAGGAAGAGCATCTTATATCATTCCAAACATTTGAGGACTTAACTCAATTGCCATTTAAAAAAGTACCTACCTCTGATCCTGCAACACCCACACATCATCATTTTTTAGAAAAATTTCCATGTCTAAACAAGACTATTAGTCTAGGTTTTTTTGGTGTACATATAATTAAACCTGATTATACAGTATCAAGCAAACTTGACTTTTCTTGTCACTAATCTGAATTATGAGCCCCAGGGATGATATGGATAAAAGAGTGTGTTATATCCTCAGCCACATCACCATGTACAGTGACATACTACAAATACTATAGCATGAATTCTTCCCTTTTATTCCAAGATACAATTTTTCTTAATAATTGGTCTCTTAACATTTTAGAGTATTTATTATAACTATCCATGATGCTATTTTCCAACTTACACTAACATTTAATCTTCTCTTTCTAATGTAGCACAAAATTTTTATGTATTAGCTTAGAATTTTCTAATGTTCACAAATTTAATAATAATCACAATCTAGCTCTTACCAGGTTGTTTTCAGTATCAAATGAGATAACATACATAAAAAGTTTCTGATTTACTTTTAACTTGTGAGTATTATTATAATTATAGAATTAAATGACTTAAAAATTCTGCTATGCCTAGACTGTAAAACATAACAGACCAAAAAAATAAAGTGAAAGTAATAAAAGACATGATAAAATTTTTAGTGAATTTTAAGACTATAATTTCTCTGACTAATCAGTATTATCTATTTATGTTCAGATTGCACAATTCTGCAAATTATAATGATGTTGAATAATAATATAGTAGTCCTACAACTTGATAAATTATTTTTGTAACACTATTTGCCTATGAATTTAAGATACTCCCCAAATGAATTTAACCTATTTCAGCATGTTTATTTTTAATATAATTTACTTTTACCTTTTACAAACTGAGCTTGCACAACATAAAAAGTTCTTGGAAAAAGCTCATTTATATGACAGAGCCCACAGATTTTACTGGATTATGAATTATAGCATCATATGAGCAACATGAAATCTTAATATGATATCCATTTAGCCAAAAATATTAATTTTCTTGAAAATCCGGAATCAACTTTCATTCTTAGGAAGTATCAAACATGAAAGCATCACCTTAAAGCCAGGGGTGGCCAACTATGGCCTGTATGCCAAGAATGGCTTTCAGATTTTATTAACGTGAGAAAAAGAAGAAAAAAGGAGAAAGACGAAAAAAGAAGTAGGTGCAGTAGTGGCAGCAGTGGCAAGAGACTATATATGGTCTGCTGAAATACTACTATCTGGTGCTTTACAGAAAACGTTTACAACCCCTGCCTTACAGTTTCTATTCACAAGGCAATAAATAATCGACAAGGAGTCTCTCTTACCTGTCCAAGTATTTGTGAAAAGGAAGTCTTAACTGTCACCTAGTTTAAAACAATTATTAAAAAAAGGTTATTTTCCCTAAACTCTAGTTCACATTTTATTAAACTGAGCACTAAGCATAATCATTCATTTTTTTATAATGATGAACCTAAAGGTACTCAAGATCTTAAAAGAATTCTCTGAACCATCAACATTTAATTTGTATCAACTGTGGTTTTGCTGTTCAATATTTTTTTCTGTAATCTAATTCTTTCCCAATTGGATGAATGCTATGATATGTGGTATCATATGTTACCGTGATATGTGGTAACCCTTTACCAACTAGAATATTTAATTAATCAGAATATCTTATTACCAGATCATACAAGCTAAAGGAATTTATTGAATGATTGAGTCAGAAACTATACGTATGTCTGCTGAAAAATTAAGCAAAAATTAATCAACTTACTTATGTAACTCGTACTTTAAAATCTCATACGTGCAATCATATGGTACTAAATATAGTTAAGATAAACCACTTCTGAGTAAATTTCATAAAAATATAATACCAGGAACAAACAGATCACATGTAATAAAATTTGAGCCAAGACAACACTTTATTTTTTTTTTATTTTATTTTTTTTTAACATCTTTATTGGGGTATAATTGCTTTACAATGGTGTGTTAGTTTCTGCTTTATAACAGAGTGAGTCAGTTATACATATATATATGTTCCCATATCTCTTCCCTCTTTGTCTCCCTCCCTCCCACCCTCCCTATCCCACCCCTCCAGACAGCCACAAAGAACCGAGCCGGTTTCCCTGTGCCATGCGGCTGCTTCCCACTGGCTATCTACCTTACGTTTGTTAGTATATATATGTCCATGTCTCTCTCTCGCCCTAACACACCTCACCCTTCCCCCTCCCCATATCCTCAAGTCTGTTCTCCAGTAGGTCTCTGTCTTTATTCCTGTTTTACCCCTAGGTTCTTCATAACATTTTTTTTTTTCTTAAATTCCATATATATGTGTTAGCATACGGTATTAAGACAACACTTTAAAAAGAAATTCATCATTAATTATCTCTGCCGTAAATATACCTCTTTTGATATTAGGAAGTCTTGGAAAAAGGAAATTCATCTTTCATAGGGAAGTTGTAAAATAACTATATTTTGTCAATACATGGACTTTAAAAAAAATAAAGTATTTGTAAAAATATGGACATTAAGAGAATGTGCAGTACAGCCAAATTACTAACACAATTCTTCCTATCTCTATAGTAATATTAGAAATATGAAGTCACAAGCTGAAAACCATTATATCCCTGCAAAATCCTTCAATGCTAGAAACAGAAAGCAAGATATCAAAGCATTAATAAATTCCATGAAATCTAAAATAACTCACAATATAGGTCAAACTGAAGCCTGTAGGACAGATTATATTCACTTGACCTACCAATTCTAGTTTACCCTAAGAAAGGTAGCTCTAATAAAGAATCCAAATTAAAGCAACTGAGTAGAAATAAGATATTTCACATAAACCAAAACCACCATTGAAATGTATACTTCAAGCACTTAAATCTGGAATCCTTAGAAGATGGTATGTTCTTATACAAAGAGGAACTCTTTTAGTTCACGAATCTATATGTAAATAAAATGTTACTCTTGAGTCCATTTCCCTTCTCTCAGTGCAAAGAAATCTACTGTAATTGTAAAACAAACCCAACAGGTACTAAACTGCACAAATTAATGATTAATAGAGATTAAAATAATGAGTGAAAATAAGATCCTTAAGCTTATCCAGTAGTGCTGGAGAATATATATCATGCCAGTTACTGCAGTATAGCCATGTCAGCTGATTTCATGAAGTTCTTCAATTTATGGATTCTGGACTGGGGCTTCCAAACTGAGAAGGTTAATCTGCAGTCTCAATTTTTATTTTATTTTCTATTACTTATTAAGATACATACTTTCGATGGTCCAGCTAAGGAAATACTGAGGTGGTGCTAACAGGCAAAATGGAGACTATTGAAAGTATCATAAGTAACTAACTCTCTCATATTAATTGGCTTTCGCATCACCATATATCTGAGGCAAATATAAAAATATATTTCCAGTTTATTCTATAACTAAATCCTAAAAACTAAGCAAACATGTAACTTACCTCATATTGACAGTCTGATGATGTATACATTTTTAATAATGCTACATGGCTGTCATTTTCTGGTTGAGCAATATGGAGTTTCACAGAAATTTCTGTGGAAGATGGAACCCTGAAAAGATAAATATCAGTTCTCAAATACAAAATGCTGTGAAATAACCATGGCTACACCAATCCTCAGCACAACACAGTGAAATAAAGTAAGGAGGCTAGATGCCACACATGTTACTATGGATTGACACTTTTCCAGTCATATCACAGCTCCTTCTAGGACACAGAAATTGGGGGAGAGGGTGGAAAGGGGTTCATGTCTGAAGCAAGTAAGGTTTAAATTCTAGATCGCTTAAATAAGAATACTATATGGTATCTTATAATATTATATTATCTTATGGGCACAATGTTACATAAAGGATACCTACATTTTACTAAGAGGCCCTGTAATAATTTCTCTAAAATTTTATTATGATTTAAATAAACAGACTAAGTAGAATAAGTATTATTCAAAAACAACAAAGTTTAAGGTAAATTCTTTCATATACTTACTGTGCAATGGTTAGTGAATCTTCATAAGACCAGGGAATATGAAGTTTATAGATACTAGTAATTTCTTCTGTGGAAACATAAAGGAAATATGTATTACTAACCTTATGTTACTAAGGTTACTACTATAATACCTAACTATTTACACAATACTCATTTCATTAAAAAATAATCAGTAAGAGTTATATCACACAATAAATTATGGAGAATTACTTAATAATAATGTTTATTTAGACCTACAACAAGATATTAGAGCATATGGAAAGTATAAGAAACTGGAAAAACATTAAACAGCTAAATCTCAATTATTACTACAATAAAACAGCAAGATATACAGTATTTTTAAAACGTGGATATTTAAACTGAAACAGATGAAGATGCTTACTGCTAAGAAAGGGTCTATGTTAAATCCATTTGGAAATATAAACAGCTTTTCTATTATCATATATTTAATATTAATTTACATAAAATACATGGAAAAATAAGTATTACAGAAAATTCAAGTGAAGACCTAATGATTCTTCAAATGACAATACTATTTTTTCAGAAATACACTTACCTTTCACTCCTGAGCACTTGCTTACCACGTTGACTTTAAAAGCTTGGTATATCTAATAGAGTTTGACCACAAAAATTTAAAAAAAACAAGTTGATAAGTTTGTTTAACTAAACAGTAAAGTAAAATCAAGTCCTGTTATTGTCAAGATAATTAATTACCTGTCCAAAGTTCAGAAGCTCTATATTATAGAACAGGCCACTTGTATTTAATATCACTTTCCTTGAAGACAATCCTATTGAATTAAAAGTACTGTATTACTTAGAATACCAAAAAAAAATTTTTTTAAGTACAAAAGTACTGACTGCTTAAACAATGTCTAAAATAATGCCAACAGATTTTTAACATTAGAAAATAGTTTATAGGTTCTTGCTTTCAGTACGGAGGAGTGACCTCCTAAAAATCCAGTCTTCCTTCAATAAATTTTGAACAAAGCATAACATTTATAATGACTTTCAATGACATTTATGTGTTTTAAAAAATCACTGCATAGTTCCAATTTCAAAAAGGTATGCTTTCTTGGTAGTTTTTTTTTTTTTAACATTTTAATAAAATTTTAAAAACCGCATCCACTTACATGTGAATGCCTTTGGATAAGAATATGCAAATGCAAGTGTTCAGATGCTTCTTTGAAAAGAGAAAACAATAAGACAAACCACCACTGTGCAATAGACAGAAAAGGCTTGAAATATTTTACCAAGTATATCACTGAAATTCTATTAATTAAAAAATAAATACTGTATGATGTTAAGATTCTGTCAGTCACATTTAGCACCAGTTAAAACACATAAGCAGTTTTTTCATAATGTTGCATTATCATAACTCTATTATAGGATGTATACTTGGAGTTAGGAAAAAAAGACAGCAGGAAATTTTATCAACATGTAAACAAATTTGCTAAGTACAAGGTGTACCATTAATCTGTGATTAATAAATCACTTTTAAAACACAATGCTAACTTACACATTCAACTACAAACCATTTTAATAAGTACCTAATGTAACCAATATTTTAAAATACAGCACTGAATTTAAGGCACCTCAAAATGAACAACAGGAGAAAAACTAGTAAATATGAAGTATACTTCACATTCTACTTAATTTAATTTAAAATACCATTCACTGTGGTACCCTTCTTCACAAGTAAGATAGTCTAAGTTTTGGGTGTTTAAAAAATTCTAACAGGAGGTAAGAAATAATTTAAATTTTTGCTTTCCACTATGGCAAAAGGGAAATCAGAAGCTGAACACTTTACTAATTAAAAAAAAATTTTTTTTTAGCCTGACTCACACCTTGAAGATTTTAGAAAGAATATCATTATTAAAATGTTGGGGCTTCCCTGGTGGCGCAGTGGTTGAGAGTCCGCCTGCCGATGCAGGGAACATGGGTTCGTGCCCCTGTCTGGGAGGATCCCGCGTGCCGCGGAGCGGCTGGGCCTGTGAGCCACGGCCGCTGAGCCTGCGCGTCTGAAGTCTGTGCTCCACAACGGGAGAGGCCACAACAGTGAGAGGCCCGCGTACCGCAAAAAAAAAAAAAGTTGATAGGCCCATTTGGAAGATTGCTGAACATCAACAAATAAGCCACAAGTGTTCGATTGTGTTACAATTTAAAATGTGAGACATTCACCAGTAATCAAAGGATAAACTTCCCTGAATGTTCTCACTTTTAAAACAGTTCAAGTCTTAATTTATTATTAAATCTAAGATATCAAAAGTATTGGTGGACATCAGTTACATACTATTGTCAGAGTATATTTTAGCAACAATAAAAATTTCATTTTGTCACCTGAAGAAATCAAAACCCATTTTCCTTTTAATAGATTAAAATTGCTTAGCATATTCCAGAAGCACCTATATCCATTATGTCTAGGAAACCAGTTTCCTATCATTATACAGTATTAATCAGTTTAGCTGAGCATAAATTAAAACAAGGAGAATTGAACATGGAATTGAATATGGTATGTGTAATCATGGAGTCACAATTACAAAAATTTGAGCTAGGGAGGGTAGATCTCTTATTTTATAAGCTTGCTATTTTTAATGAGGTAGGTGGTTTAGAGTTGTCATTTCTGTATTGTTCTGTGTATTATTCAACCAAAAAAAAAAAAAAAAGGTGGGGGAGGGATAAAAATCTTAAAGGAAGTTTCCTCTCTCAAGTAACAGATTCTTTTCACGAATGGAATACAAAAGAAAAATATTGAAAAAATTGGGCATGCCAAAAGAGCACAAGAGCCAACTTAAAAAGAGCTCCCAACATCCAAAGCTGAAGCAACTTAAGCAAAAAAAAAAAAAAGTAACAATAATATTGCATTATATCCCAATAAATAAAATAAATATCCATAAGTCCATAGTGACATAAATAAAAAATGAATAAATGGGGGAAAAGGGACAACTTTCCCTTAGGAAGAATTCCAATAATTATAGAATGCCAGTAATAATTGCTTCAGACTAGATAAACCAATGGATGCTAAAATTAGTGGGTTATTTTGAAGAAAAACAGGATACTTACACATTCTCAAAGTATCTCCCCCAAGATATTTATTAATCACAAAGAGAAAAGCAAAGCAGTAACTTTACAGTGGAGAAATCTGGCAGACAACACATTAACCAAGAAGTGATCAAGGTCCACATCATTAGTAATTAGACATAGTGACATCATGTATCCTCTGATATGATACACTGAGAAGTTCACATTGCTCCTGTGATATTCTTGCCCCAAATGCATAACCTCAATCTAATTATAAGAAAGCATTAGACAAAGCCAAATAGAGAGATATTCTACAAAATAACTGACCAATACTCTTCAAGGGCCTCAAAGTTATAAAAGACAAAGGAAGACTGAGGAACTATCAAAGATCAGAGGAAACTAGGGAGACATGACAACTAAATGCAATATGGGAACCTGGAGAACACTGGTGGAAAATCCTATGAAAACCAAATAAAACTGTAGTTAACAGTATTGTACCAGTGCTCATTTCTTAGTTTTGACAATTTTATTGTTTATGTTAAGGTGAATGAGAGCTAGATGGGAACTCTACTCTTTCTGTGATTTTTCTGTAAGTCTAAAATTATTTCAAAATAAAATTTAAAGGAATATTTAGTTATGTGTATGTTACCACAACAAAAAAAAGGGGAAATATTTAGAGCAATCTTGAAACCTTCAGACAGCAGGTAGTAATTTATATCTTAGAATAAACCTTTTATAAAAAGGGCCTATATGTAGTATAAGTTCATGTGAAAACACATACACACAGACAATTACCTGCAAATGTATATGATCATGGATAAGTTTATTTTAAAGTTAATTTCTGGGACTTCTCTCATGGTCCAGGGCTAAAGAATCTGCCTTACAACGTAGGGGATGTGGGTTCAATCCCTGGTCGGGGAACTAAGATCCCACATGCCGTGGAGCAACTAAGCCCGTGCACCACAACTGCTGAGCTCGCATGCCTCAACTGGAGAGTACACACGCTGCAAACTACAGAGCCCACATGCTCTGGAACCTGTGTGCCACAGCTACAGAGCCCATGTGCCCTGGAGCTTGCACACCACAACTAGAGAGAGAAAACCCACACGCCACAACTAGAGAGAAGACCGTGTACCACAACGAAGAGCCTGGGCGCCGCAACGAAAGATCCTGCGTGCTGCAACTAAGACCCAACGTGGCCAAAAATAAATGAAATAAATAAATAATAAATATTTAAATAAATAAATAAAGTCTATTAAAAAAATAAGGTTCATTTCTCAGAAAATGATTGCTGGCCCAGTTAAAAATCAAACCACTGAGCCATATCACATGGTTATTCTAAGAACTACACAAAAACAGTTAATGTTAGGGCTCTGCATTACTGCAACTAACTGGCAAAATAAATCAACACTCTTAAAAATAGAAGCAATTCTTAAGATTTCCAAAATCAAAGTACTTACCAAAGGAAAAAAGATGAGTTACAGGAAGCTGTATGGATCTTGTCTCTTTTTTAAAGAATTCACAATCTACAACAAACTGGAATATAAAACATTGATATATTAGGAAAAAATAGAATTAAATTTATAGTAAAATATCTTCACTTGATAGCTGAGTAGAAAACAAAAACCTATAAACTTTAGTTTTGAAGAAGGTATTATCTATTATCTATCACACTCTAACCCTGGTTATATTTAGGGGGCATGAATTCCTCAAGGAGAGATGCTAAGCTAAGAGAATTTGGTGACAAAGCTTAACTTAAGAGATAAATTATTAGAGGGTCATTTCTGTAAGAGCAGATGTACAGCAAAGTTTTCTTGCAGCTAGTTTTAGGTGTTTATAGAAGAGGGACCATAAACGATGGCTCAAAGCATTAAGAGCCAAGATTAACTCAAGATAATTAAGAATTTAGGCAATATATCTCTGAATTCTTTCATACTCAAAAAGAAATGTGATTTTGTTACATCTTTTCAAAAATTTCATATTTAGTATGTTTCAGCAGTCTAATTAGACTACAAAAGGCTTTTGGAGACATACTGCCATTCATCTACAGATGGCTAATGTTATTCATGTAAGATTATTTCAGGCTAAACAGAGATTATAATAAATGGAAAAGAGATTCACTATGTACAAAGGAAAAAAAAAACACTATCTCAAAAAAAGAACCTAAAATGTGACATCTGCATCACTGCAATTTCTGTAATGGCATTTCTTATCTAATAACAGTTTCTACAGTGGCATAACGAACTTTGCTCTCAGCTGTCTACAATAAGAACAGTTTCATTAAAATCATTTCCACAATCCAACCAAATTACTCTCATCTATTTATATGTGCTGAGGAAGAAATTAATCCGATGCCTAACTGTAGCTAGCAAGTAGTTTGCTGTCTACAGTAAGTGGAAAGTCAGTGGGGTCTATCCTAGGCTTTTCCAGTAACTACACCTTGGATTGTATTTTAAGCTGTGGTATGTTGTTTGCCCCTTGGGTGGAGTTTTGACTGTTTTTGAAAATGAAAAACAGATGAGGGAAAATGCTATTAGAATGTACACACACAAGGGAATAAAAGAAAAAAACTAAGGGGCTCTGCTTTTATTTTTCCCTCTTTAATTAGAAGGCAAAGAACACTGTCAGATATTTTCACTATAGAAAACAGCTGTTATAGAGAAATCATTTATTCAACAGGATAATTCATTATACTTTTACAAGTACCTTTGGGTGACACATTGCCTGAGACAGGGAAGCAATTTTAAATCACTTTAACAGGTATTTAAAATAATACAACTTTTATTATTGCTTTAAAAATCTGGCCATTTCTTTATGGAATAAACCCTTACCCAAAAAAGAAAGAATTCAAGAGTCTGTCTCTGAAATATAAGTAAATTTCTAATGGACTTAATTATTTTGTTTTCCGTCATCAGAAAATGCAAGTAATTCCATATTTACACTTGGAAAACTATATTAAGATGATTAGTTGACTTAAGAAAATTCTGAACTGCCTATTTAAATATATGTATCCTGGGCTTCGCTGGTGGCGCAGTGGTTGAGAGTCCGCCTGCCGATGCAGGGGATGCGGATTCGTGCCCCGGTCCGGGAAGATCCCATGTGCCGCGGAGCGGCTGGGCCCGTGAGCCATGGCCGCTGAGCCTGCGCGTCCGGAGCCTGTGCTCCGCAACGGGAGAGGCCACAACGGTGGGGGGTCCGCGTGCCGCAGGGGGGAAAAGAAAAAAAAATATATATATATATATATACATTTAAATATATGTATCCTTCTGATGATGAGCTATAACAGACACATAAAAATTATGAAAGGCCTAAGTTACCATCCTTGTGAGATTGGGTATGCAACACTAGAGTCAGCAGTGTTACTTTCCAAAGAGCGTTAAGACACATTAAGTATTTATTAGGCCACTAAGACTGGCTATTTGCGAAACGCTCATTAATTTCTTGGAATAACCAAGGAAGCCCTTTCCAAGTTTGGGAAGATGTTAAATTCATTCAAAACCAACTTACCTGAAACAAAAACCCTTAAAGAGAGCTTTTAGTATTGAAGATGCTGAATTACCTCTCACTTGAGCTAAGCAAAACAAAACAATGAATCCATTATAAGGTACTCGTGAGACTCAATCTTTGAGACTTCCCCTAACTACATCCCCTTTTCTTTTTTCCTTTAAATTTTCCTATGATACTGGCCCCAAATCTAATTAACTTTCTCATTCAAGAAACACTTTTTTGAGCATTTATGTGGTAGTCACTAAAGGTTGAGGATGCAAAGTAGAGTAAAACCTATCTGGTCCTTACTCTGAATGAATTCATACTATGGTGATGGCAATAAAGACGTAAACAAATAAATTATAATTCGGTATAATATATTCCTCAAAGAAGTTATAAACAAAATATCCTGGGAATAAGCAAGAGGTTACTGGAGTAGTCTAGAAAAGGAAAACAAGGGACACTTCGGCTAGATCTTGAAGGGTAAGTTTGCTGGGTGAAATGTGGAAAGGGGAGTAGAGGGTCTTTTACCTCCATCTTCTTCTTTCCCTGCCTACTTCTCTCAAAAATCACCATCCTTTTATTTCTACTCCCACTTCACTGGTACAAGCTTTCATAATCCTATATGAGGTGCCTGTTCTCTCTTTTTCTAATCTATCCTATACCATAAATAGATTCATTTTCCAAAATAAATAGCTCTGATCCCATTACTACTATGGTGAAAAATCTTTCAGTTCCCTACTGACTCCTGAATTCTATAAAGTCCTGAATCTTCCAATCAAGGCCCTCCAGAATATGGCCATTAACTACTTTTCCAGACTTTTCTTCCACTACTATTCTACCCAAGGTAGCCATCCTTTTAAAACTACTATTTACTTATTCACTATTTTCCAAACGTACTCTACACTGTCCATGTTTGGAACTTACTATTTCTTTGTCTCAACAGTGCTGTTTATTATAACTTTCTGCAATGATGTTACTATTGAGTATCTGGAATGTGGCTAATACAACTAAGGAACTGAATTTTTACTTTTATTTAATTTTAATTAATTTAAATTTAAATAGCTACATGTGCTAGTGGCTCCTATATTAGATATCCCAGGTCTAGAATATTCATTCTACCTATAAAAACCCTAACTATCCTTTAAGGCAATTTTAAATATCACCTCATAATAATGCCTTTTTTTATTTCATCAATCAGAGATATCTCCCCCTTTAACACTTTTCATGGATTTGCTATATTCTGATTTGTTTTATACATTTTGGATAACTCTTTCATTCTCACCCTTTCCCTGGCCACCAAATATATTTCTCTCCCCCCTGCTCAACAGTATGTAGCTTTCTGAGAACAGGGTTCATGTCTTTCTCATTTGTGTGCCTCCCATAATTCCTGGCACATAGTCTTGCACATAAGGGAGTACTCAATAATTAACAGATTTTGGGGCTTCCCTGGTGGCGCGGTGGTTGAGAGTCCGCCTGCCGACGCGGGGGACACGGGGCCGTGCCCCGGTCCGGGAAGATCCCACATGCCGCGGAGCAGCTGGGCCCATGAGCCATGACCGCTGAGCCTGCATATCCGGAGCCCGTGCTCCGCAACGGGAGAGGCCACAACAGTGAAAGGCCCACGCACCGCAAAAACAAAAACAAAAACAAATAATTAACAGATTTTGAAAGACTGATAAAGTAGAACTAATTCCCACTTGAAACAAAGAGACTTGGATTTATTCTGCTTAGTTCAAGTTAGAGTAGATGATCCTAATGCTTTAAACAGTCTTAGGTGGATCACCAACCTGGCCACTATTTCAGATAAGCCCTAAGCTGAAGAATTCATCAAAAAATAATTTAAAATATTTAGCATGAGTATCCCCAAAACATTCTGAAAACAACCTTATTTGTTTGTTACCTTACTTCCATGAATAGATGGTACATAAACAACAAGATGAGACAAAGATGGATAGTCTTGAAGTCTTAACGTCAGAGACTAAAAAAGGATGAAAAAAAGCTGATTTTATTTCTCAGGATATATAGAGCTTAAAGCATGTTAAAAGAAAGATAAATTAACAAACATTTATTTCTTACCTAGTAAGTCATGAAAAAACTGAATTCAGACTTTATGCTCAGTACTTCATAAAATGCCCATGTTTACATTTTCAGGTCAATGAGCCTGCTGAAGGTCAAACTTCTAATAATTATGTAAATATGGACTGCCAAAAATATTCCTTGAACTGTATCCCTTCATGTAAATGACATTTAACATTAAATTTAATTATTTTACATAATTATTTCCAGATTTGATGTTTCTTACAATTTGTCTACTTGTTTTGTATAATGTTACAGTAAGATTTCTACAGTTATCTTGGTAGTATATGACAAAGAGCATTCAATAGTTGATGAATGAATGGATGCTCAATATGATGGAAGAATTGCAACTTAATCTCAAATGATTCTGATCTAGCCCAAGTAATAAACAGTTGCTGGCTAATGATGTGTATGAACATCATTCCCTGGAACTTATTCAGTAAGTGACATGAACACAGGAAGTCTAATAATGCACCTCACCAAATGAGCATCTATTCTTTTCTTAAAACTAAAGACCTTATCTTACAGTCCATATTTTGAGGAATGAACAGATTGGAGACTGGTCTACCTAATGAAAACCCAGGCCACCAAATACAGTTTTCAAGGCTTTTTTTTTTTCTGACAGTAGATGTGGCGAGGGTGTGAGTAGTTATATGCTGTGACAATCCGTGTACATTAAGAAATTTCTGCACTTAATACTCTCCACTGTTCTTCCGAAGCACCAATGTGGGCAAGTTGGATAGAGGTTCTAAAGAGAACGGTCAATGAGTGGTCCTCAAACAACCTGACCAGATTCACCTGGGAGTGCTTGTTAAACTCCTGGACTGCACCTCAACTTACTCAGCAAAGTCTCTGCAACACACTTACATATTCTAATGTAAATTAAAGGGCCTTAAAAGAGCCACACAAACCAAAGCTAAAGGCAACTGAAACCAACCAGACAGGTGGTAGACAATACGAAAGATAAATTAATTAGAAAGAACCATGGTTACTCTGTGTAGCTATCCACTGAGAAATTTTGTTATTTATTCTCAAGAATAATTTTTTTCCTCAAGAATTTTATTTTTTTAGGATCAGAATACTTTAAAAAGATATCAGTGTGTCAAAATACATTTACTTATAAAGTTAAGTTCCCATATAGTTACAGTGTCAGTAGGAATTTGGGAAGATAATATTCATGAAATTGTTACACTGACAGGTAAAGTTAATATGAAGTTTGGAAATTTTTCAGTGTTTTAAGGGTAAAATGACCTTAATGCTGAGGCAACACACACAGAAAATCAAACACCAGCGTGTGGATGTCAGAAACCCTTCAAGTTCTGCTGCTGTGTGTAGGGCAAAGGCGTGGTGCTAAAGTATGATCTAGGCACAACAGTGACTAGGTAATTTTTCTCATTAACTTAGATTTCTTTTCAAAGTTAATTGTTTTGTTTGTTTTTAGCAATAAGTCCATTTGGGCTTACCCAATTGTTGGTCTGCTGTGGTTTCTGTCTTCATTGTACCATGACAGAAAAGTTCCATGTGACTGATGCTGTTAAGGCCCTAAACCGAATTTACAAGTGCTTTGCTGGAGGATTCCATCTATTTATTAACAGTTCAGTCATCAGAGGTGCCAAAGGTGGTATGATTCTCATCATACATTACCTTTGTTGAGATGATATAAATATGAATAAAACCCACAAGATTTTTTCACTTCAGTCTTTCCTTTCCCTTCAACTTCATAGCAAAATAATTTTGTGTGCTTTTTATAAATGGGCTAACACACATATATATATATAATTTTGATTTTCATTACAATGGAAAAGTTTATTTGCATTTAATAATTATAATCCTCTTCAACTGAGAATGCTTAAGATAGCAGAGTATTATAATCCTCATTTTCTAACCTTTCTCTTCCAGTTTTCCCCCTAAATTCCAGTAGGCTTTTAATACCGCCTGGCACTTTCTTCTAGTATCCACTATAAAAAGTAAGCAGCTGGAGCTTCCCTGGTGGCGCAGTGGTGAAGAATCCGCCTGCCAATGCAGGGGACATGGGTTCAAGCCCTGGTCCGGGAAGATCCCACATGCCATGGAGCAACTAAACCCACGCACAACTACTAAAGCCCGCGTGCCTAGAGCCCATGCTCCAAAACAAAGAGAAGCCACCACAATGAGAAACCCACGCACCACAACGAAGAGTAGCCCCTGCTCGCTGCAGCTAGAGAAAGCCTGCGCACAGCAACAAAGACCCAACGCAGCCAAAAATAAAATAAATACAAAAAAAAAAGAAAAAAAAGTAATCAGCTGGAAGAACTTGTTCTACTACTCAGCCAGCTGTTTCTTACACTTAGAAAAAACAACACAGGGGTCTAGAACTAGACGAATACATTGTTAAATCTTTGAGACTTAAAAAAAAAAAAAAGGATATTATGATTTAAGAAATAAGTTTTTAAAAATAGTAGCAAAGTAACATTTTATTGGGTTTTTTATGATTTATTTCTTCCTAACTCTTAAATTACAGACTGGAAAGGATATCCAAACTGGAAATTCAAGGAAATATTTAATATGTCTTATGAATGACTGATCAGTAAGTATACCCTAATACTTCTGTTTTTGCTTTGCTCCTGCCTAGACAGTTAGGATAGAACGAGTAAGAGACCTTAAAAATGTTCTTGCGTCAAATCACTTATTTGTCTTATCAATACAAAGCAACATGAATGAACATGCACAAAGTAAGACTGACCAAGGTGACACAAAAAATAACTGCAATCATTCCAAAGTCAAGTGTGACTTGCAATTATTCACCCTGTCATCATTCCTCTCATTGGTATAGGACAGAGTTGACTAAACATACAGATAAATAAACATTCATGAGCACAAATAACTAACTGGCGTTGGGAGATGATCGGGACCAACCAGAGGACTTCACATTCAACCCTATGAATATAGTATTCATTATGACAATATATTCTAAAGTATAGATTTACTTGAAGACTAAAAACTATCAACTCTGGCATATGATTATCAGTTATAATAAATACAATTTGAAAATTAGAACAGATATTTTCATCAAATTTTAGAACTGTCTTATTTTCTCAACAATAGATTTTGTGAGTGTGCAAATTAGCCTTTTGTAAAGATGTGCTGACCTACCACAGTTGCTTAAGGAAATCACTAACAATTATTAAATAAATCCCATGGAGTACTAGATAAAAGTAGATAGTTACTGAAGTGCTTAACCACAGATGATACTGAAACTGAAAATTGCTTTGTGTCTTTTTGAGATGCTTACTTCCCTACTGTAGGTCCTCCCCAAAATGAATTCTGAGTATATTCAACTTAATATTTTAAGACAGACCATTCCAAACAAACCCTCAAACTGAATCTTAAAAATTTATCTACCTCTTAGTATGATGCTATAACATATAGATTTAATTTTATTTAGGATTGATGACTTATAGTTTTCACCTCTGAAAGCTAAAAAATAATTGCATGTTATTCTCCATTAAATGTATTTCCAGAGAAAATATTTCTAAAATGTATATTAGCAAATTTCAAGTTTATTTAATACCTAGAATTAATCAAAGACCATACTGTACATGCCTATATGCTCAAATATGTTTTCACCTGGATATTAACATTCTAAATCCACAATTTACCTTAATTGTTGGCAGCAGTTCAGCTTTCCATGATAAATCAACCCCTTGCCGGCTTGGAAATAAATATGAAAATATAATTAAAGGACAAATATATTAAAGTATTATAAATTAAATATGAGCTTCAGAGCAAAAAGAAACCATCTATAGACCTACCAAAGGCAGTTCTAATGAACTCAAGTCTAATAGGTCTAACACAATATACTTTATCCACATAGTCCTTTGGGGAACAAAACGTAGTTTTTCCTAGCAACCAACTATCAATGTTTGCAAAAATTACTAGTATGTTAATTTTCTTTATTTTTAATTTTAAAATCAATACTATAATTTAGTTTAGTAGCAAAATGAGCTTAAGAATATCTGAAGTGGGACTTCCCTGGTGGCACAGTGGTTAAGAATCCTCCTGCCAATGCAGGGAACACAGGTTCAATCCCTGGTCCAGAAGATCCCACATGCTGAGAAGCAAATAAGCCCGTGCACCACAACTACTAAGCCTGCACTCTACAGCCCGCAAGCTACAACTACTGAAGCCCGTGTGCCTAGAGTCCGTGCTCCACAACAAGAGAAGCCACTGCAATGAGAAGCTGGCACACCAAAACGAAGAATAGCCCCCGCTCACTGCAACTAGAGAAAACCCCCATGCAGCAACAAAGACCCAACACAGCCATAAAGAAATAAATTTATATTAAAAAGAAAAAAGCAAACTGTTAAGCTTTAAAAACATATATACATCTGGGGCTTCCCTGGTGGCGCAGTGGTTGAGAGTCCGCCTGCCGATGCAGGGTACACAGGTTCGTGCCCTGGTCCGGGAGGATACCACATGCTGCAGAGCGGCTGGGCCGTGAGCCATGGCCGCTGAGCCTGCGCATCCGGAGCCTGTGCTCCGCAACAGGAGAGGCCACAGCAGTGAGAGGCCCGCGTATCGCAAAAAAATAAAAAACATTAAAAAAAAATCTGAAGCTATTCGGAAAGTGTGATTTGAGTATATCTTATGTTGAGAAAAATGAACAGAGGGCCTTATGTTCAAAACACTTACCACATAGAAGTGCTGTTTATGCAGCCAAAAATCCAGCTATTTGTATCCTATTGATTAATAACACAAAATAAAGCACACTAAATATTGTAGAAAATAATTATATAAAACAGGCATTTCACTGTTTATGATAGGGTCAGTAGGCACAGTGGAAACATAAAATAACAACTTATTGTTTAGAAATGTATTCAAAATGTTCTCAAAAGTCAAACAGGTCAAGGTGAGGCAAAGAAGTCTAATGTCAACATAGACAGGTAAAGCAAGTAACCTGGAGCAGCAGTATGAGAGAGTAACCTGATAGGTTATCTCTCCACAGCATACTGTTAAGCAATTTTAATTTCTGAACCAACACTTTTAGAGTTCAGCAATGTCCACACTTTAATTAGGTACTTACATAGAAAGTAACCTATATTTTAACAAAACTAGAAGAGAACAACTAGAGGTAGACTTTCACACAAACAGAAAAAAAAAAAAAAAATCCAGAGCCAAGTAATTAAAAAGAACAATCTAAGTACAGCTTTTTAGATTATCATTTAAGTTTTCATTTGATTACTAGGCAGATAACTTTTATACAACTGACAATGTGCTTGGATTGAAGCACAACTCCAAGGGTTTAAGACTAAAGCTAGTTGTTACTTTACTAGCGCAGACTGGGAATGCTGCAGAGATGGTTGTGGTATTTTAACAATATTATGTATTCAGCTTCAGTCATTTAAAAGCAGTATATGACCCAAGATCTTCACTCTAACTTTTAATGAAGTAGTAAGAGCAATGCTCCAAGATCTAACGATCCAACTACCAAAATCCTACCAGGGCATAAGAGAATGAGAAACACTGCTGAGACAGCTACATATATTTTTCCTTAGTATACAGACAGGACAATAAAAATATCAATCCTTTCATTCAATTAATATTTATAAAGTCCATTCCAGGGCCAAGGAATTATGCTAAGCCCTCAAGAAAAATGATGAATCAAGCAGACATAGCCTCTGCCCTCATCAAGCTTAAATAAAATTTTAAGATATTTTTCAAGAATTCAGAAAAGCAAGCTGAAAGAAAACAAACACAATGTGGTATTTCTCTACTCTCCACTGCTGGCAAAATACTTCAGTAAACTCTTATCAGTTACCTGTGTTTACCAGAACAACCACGTGACATTATAAAGCAAGGCAACAGAACAGATCTGCATAGCCTAGACAAAGAGAATCTAGCAACCTCTCAAGATCCAGCTCACTTTTGTAATAGGTTTTTGCAGCTGTTGCAACTCAAAGACAGCCCTTATTATGAAAATTGCCAATATTGCACACTACTTACTTTGGTGTCTAGGGAATTCTGATTCATTCACTAACAGACTGAATAAAGTATTATTCAAATCCACCCTAAAACACCATGTTGTTATAACCTAGAAGGTATCAAAGAACAATTTCAGGTCATCTAGTAAACACCCCTAACTCAGCTAATTTTAAAACTTGTATTAAAAATCTTAGAAAAAGTCACTCAGAATTTACTAACTCCTGAAGTGCACAGAAAAGAAAATGCTACTTGATTATAAAATTTATAGATCTAAAAAAAAATCTATCTACAGTAAAAAATATGTCCTCGATGGCTGCTAAAATCATTAGGTGAAAGACTGACTAGGAACTTTATAATGAATGGATCGTGCCAATATGACCTGAGTCCACTGATATATCAGTCCACTGATTTTTGTCACTAAAAGTGGAACAACCAGATATTATATACTTCCCGATATGATAAGTACACAGTTCTACTTATAAAACATTCATACCATAAAAAAATGAATCTATTCAAGATTCTAGATCTAACTACCAGTTTACACAAAACAATGGAGAGAAATACATGTTAAAAGATACCACAAGAATACAATCAACTAAACCCAGAACAAATGTATGGCATAGGGGAAAAAAAGAGGGGGCTGTTAAAAAAAGACATAAGACATATGAATCAAATGCAATGTATGTACTTTTTGGATTCTGATTCAAACAAGCTAACTTTTTGGATTCCAATTCAAACAAGCTAACTTAAAACTTAAATGAACAGAGGAAAATTGAACATGGACTGGATACCACATGATATTAAGGAATAAGTAATTAATTTGTTGGATAAAATAATATAATAATATTATTAGTATTATAATAATATGTAAAATTCTTATCTGTTATAAAAACATACTGAAATATGTATTGATAAAATGCCTGGATTTTGCTTTAAAAATGCTTCACTCAAAAAAAGTGAGGAAGGGATAAATCAGGTAAGAATGGCAGAATATTGATAACTGTTAAAGCTGTGTGATGGTTAAATGAGAATTTATTATATTCTCTCCCTACTTTTGTATGTTTGAAAACTTCTGTGATAAAAATTGAGAACATTTAAAACAAATTCTCCACATGACTAGTAATATTTCACCCATGGACCTTAATTACAGAAAAGGGATCCTCCAATAAGCCAAATGGATAATTTGCATTTTGGCAAGGATTTTTCTCAATATAATACTGACATTCTGATTTGGAATTTAGTAGGAGTGTGGATATTTTTAGCCATCATTCTCAGGGCCAGATTCTCTTGGGATAAACTACCCATCCAAATTTTAGGCTGAGAGATGGCAGTCTGTCTCTGGTGAGAGATGCAAAACTGTGGCAATTCCACTAAAATTAGTATTCATTAGCACCTAGCCCACAGTGCCTGCCTACCATCTTTTCTAAAGACTTTACTATATACCAAATGGTGGTATCAACCAACTAAGTAATATATTAGATCCTAGTCCTAAAAAATACAAATAATCCAACAAAAGGGAAACGAGGGAACTTAAATTATGAAAGATGCAAATATAAAGTGAAGAATCCTAGGACATGAGGGGAAAAAATCAGAATAGAGAGAAAGGAACACAAATTGGGAAACAAATTCCTGAAAGTAAGAAGTGCTGATAAATTATTACTTAAACAGACCTAATGTAACAAAAGCATGCTAAAGCATCTAACATATTTCTAGCATAGTAGGTACTCATCAAAAAGAAATACACACAAAAAATCATCATACTGATACTGTAAGTCTAGATAACACTGTAACAAAAAGTTACTATACTATTTTAGAGAATATTTGGTATAAAAAGTACTGCAAATTTGAGTATGGAAGCCATGGGAAAAACAGGATTTACTTTATAAAACAAAGGATAGCTTTGCTTAAATATATCTATTCTTTAAAATACTAATAGAATTTTAGAATTAAAGGAGCTCTGAACTGAATTCCTTCATCCTAAACATAGTGAAACTAAAGTAGAAAAACCTAAACTAGAGGCAAAGGTACAAGCTAATAGTATAGATATATTATCAGTTACAGAAGCATTTTGATTAGCACTTTTCAATCAATACTCTCTGTTCCAGATAAAAGTTTTTCAACTACTTAGATTTAATAATAGTTCATAGCTAAAGATGATATCTACTAGATACTAGTTGAACCTTAAAAATAAACAACAGTTAGCCTTTTAAATTTACATAAAGTGTATCAATTATCTTACCAGCATGGTGCTCTGACAATAGACATGAGTGTAGATTTTTCTATGATTTGCAAGGGGAAATGTAAAATATATCTTATCAGATTCCTAAAAAAAGAGGGAAAACACAATAAATTATGAGTAGATAATTTCATCACTCAAAAATTCAGATAAAGTAATGAATAATTATTCTAATTAATTATTTTAATTCTATCATTCTTGGTGTTGTTGAGAACCAATAATCTAGGAATGGGAAGAAGATACAGATGCAAGACAGATCAGGTATAAACTCTGTAGACCTGAATTTGTCTTGGAAGTATCAGTATGAATGCATGTTTTTTTTGTTTGGGTTTGGTTTTTGGCCTTATAACCAAGATAAAATACATTTCTTAGCTCTGTTCACTGAAAAGGCCTTAGAAATGCTAACTTACTAGCCATAAACATCTCTAATACCCAAATTATGGTTTTCAGATACTGTTTCCCAAATAATAGGAAGAGCTTCTTTGAGAAAACACAGATTCAAGGTCTGGGACAATGAGCTAAAATACTTTCTTATACTAGATAGTGAGGAAAATATCAAAGACAACTAAAGAGCAGCCACATCAAAAAGATTCAGGAGCCTACCTTGAAATGGCTTCCACTGGTCAAGGACAGAACAGTTTTAATAGCAATTTTAGTATCAAAGATAGAACAATTTCAGTATTTTAGTTTAGACAGAAACACAAAAATGTTTAAACTCATAATAATACTGGAGGAAAACCCCCCCAAAACATCTTATGGTCACTGATGGAGGGTGTTTGTGAGCCAACTCACTACTCTAAAAACCAGTAAATATAAGATCCAAAGAATTATCATTTTTTTCCTTTGTAATTTGTTCTACTTTTAATAAATTTAGTAGATGAGAAGTTTTTCTATATAGTGTTGCAATTAATAAATGAAGAATGAATAATCGGAGTCTCACTGCTTTTGTACTCCCTATTAATGACTCTAGGCCGCCTTCATCAATAGCTGCTAACATCACAAAAAGAGACAGAGTCTAGTAAAAACAAAAACAAAACAAAAACCTGAATCTGATGAAGCATCTAGATCCAAGATCCAGCTACCAAGTCACAGGAAAGAGTAGGGAAAGGAATATACTGGATGACATTACAGGAGTGCAATCAGCAAAATCAAGATTGTGTGAAACTCTATAGGACAAATTAGGGAAAGGAATATACTGGATGACATTACAGGAGTGCAATCAGCAAAATCAAGATTGTGTGAAACTCTATAGGACAAATGACTAGTTTTTTTTTTTGTCCAACAAATAAACTGCAAGGAAAAAAAAGGGTGAAGGAAGTATTAGATATTAAAAGAGGAATGAGAGACATAGCAACAAATCATACGTACACCTTGTTTGTACCCTGATCTAAACAAACTGGAAAACAAAAGAAACAGCAAAAAATTTGACAGTTATGATAAAACTGGAAAATTGAACACTGACTAGATATTAAGGAATTATTACTAAACTGATTTAGTATGGGAAAATAACATTGTCAACTTCTTTAAAAAGTCTAGCTTTGAAAAATAAATACCAAAATATTCTTGAAAAAAAATTTTAAATCCATTGGTGGTATACTTACATTGTAAGCCACATAGGTCCATTTGGACACTTTTACTGGAACCCACATAGATGTCCCTAAGGTAAAAGAAATTAATTTGTTTGGCTTTTTAAAAAACATTAAGTGATTTCTTTTACTGAATCCTTCTCAGTCACAACAGGATTTGAAAAAGAAGCAGTTTCCTGAACACTGGCTATTTTAAAATAGAAAATCTAATGAGATGTTCTCTATATGCTCATCACCAAGGAGCATTCAGAACATGTAAAGCATTTTAAATCTTTCTGATGTCTAACTCTAAGAAGTATCAACAGAATAAAACAAATATTTCATTTTCCAAACTAAGTAGAGCATGACAGATACATATAAAAACAAAACGTACCAGCAAAAGATATGCTGTTAAACCAAAAGACTGAAGAATGATACTGAGAAACTAAGTCAAGAATAATACAGAATTTATTTTACGTGGCTGTCAGGAGAATAGAGACATTTAACACTTTAAAATTGTTCTACTGTCATGTTATTTTCAGTACAAAAGTTTATCAGCAACATCTTTTTACTTTTACATTTTTTACTTTTCCCCTCCTTAGCCAAGAACCTCATAAGAAACCAGCATAGGGAAATTAATAAAATATAATAGGATTATAATACCTGGAGCATTACAGTTTCAAAGAATTTGTCTGCTAATGACAAATTTACCTAAAAATAATACTCAAAACTCTACTTAAAATTAAAACATGCTATTACTACTCACCTGTTAAGTCAGAAATTATTGATGGATTTTCCTCAAAGTGTTTTGCTGGGTGTCTTATGAAGTGGTGATTCAAAACTGACAATTTCTTCTTGGGATTTTGAGTTATCTAGAAAGAACATTGATACATTCTGTATCCTTTTATATCCACTGTGATGACCTAATGAAACTTTGTTTCAAGTAATAATAATAAGAGCCAACAGTTACTTACTGTGGGCCAGGCACTGTTCTAAGTGTTTAACATGGGACTAACTATGCTTTGAGTTAGTTTCCCTGTATATATGTTTGTTTCTCCTCCTCAACTATATGCTTCTTGAGGAGTAGGAATCATATCCTAATATTTTACTGTCTAATATTTAGTTTAGTATATCATATACACTGAGTTTGTGAAAGAGAGCTCAGTTTCATATTATTTTGATTCTTAGCAGTATTAGTCAAAAATTTCTCATTTGTCCCTTAAAACGTATCTGTAAAATACTTATCCATCCAGAATTATAATTTATTACATGCTAGTATTAGCATTTTCTCACCTAAGAATTTAATGGAAAACAAGATTTGATTTGTTAAAATTAGTTTGATGTATAATTTTAAAATAATATACCTGAGATTCACCTGTTCTTCATTAGTTGAAATGGGGTTTTTCCTAAACCTACCAAATGTCATTTAAAATACAAACTGGTCAAATACAAATTTTAATTGATTCTACTGTTGTATATAGTTGAACAGATTAAAAACATTTGCGATAGAGTCACAATTAAAACAAGGTTGAAAACCTGAAAAACATTTACATTCCATGACTCCATGATTCCAATGTTAACAGTGTTAACTCTATGAAGCTGATTTACTTTAATAAATATACTAACTTAAATATGGTATCTTGTGGTTTAAAATGTGGTAAAACAGATCAACCTGTGTCTCTCTTTTACTGCATTCTTCAGGAGAGAGCTAAATATCTATCATTCTCCCTAATAATAGTTATGCAGCTTTCTGAAGGGTTAAGGAAAAAAATATAGACACTACCCTACTCCTAAGAGAGAATGCTTAGGAGCAAGGTTAAGACACAGTGATAAGGAAGCATTACCCAGAGATTTACTAAGAAAGAAGCCACACATAATAGTCTCTCAAAGAACTAGGGCCTTCAGGAAAAAGAATCCAAAAATATATGGCATAGTGGAAAAAATTACCAAAAATACAAGGAACGTTTTCTCCAAAAGGAGAAGCCAGAGCTGTAGTTCTCAAAACATGCTTCTATGGAAGAGTGATGCACTGCAAAGTGACCTGAGGTGAAAGGCTGCTTACGATGAATAATGGCAATCTGTTCCCAATTCACAGGGAAAAAAAATTAAGTTAATAGAATTCTCTGAATTTTGCTGAAATCCTTGGTGCCCACTACTATTTATCTGCTGGCAGACAAGAAAGAGCTGAATGAGTAATATGATTTCCAGGTAACCTGCTAACTGAACAACTTAGAAAATCACTAGTTGGGAGAGTTTATATGTAAAATATCAATACAGAAGAGGTTTGACTCTAGAAGTACATAATTTAAGTTCTGGTGAGCTTGTGTTATTCAATGAATGTAGATATTTTGATCCTACTGCATAAGGATATTTGTAATAAGTATTTCCCTTAAGGTAAAAAACAAAAAGTCAGAAGGACATATATTAAATTTTAAACAGTAAAGGGGAAGAACTGAGGAAGATTTAAGGTATTCTTTCACTTTTTCATTTTTATTGCATTCTTAATTATTAATAGTTATCAAAGATTACAGATAAAAATATAGATATTTCCATTTTCAAACTAATTACAGTCAATATAAGGTGTAGGCTTCTATTTTCATCAAAGTAAAAAACCGTATTAACTCTATCACTGCTCTAACAAAAGCTTTTACTTCACTGAAATAACTTTTAGTTTAAAAATACATACTTGTTTAGTATCAGCATCAATAAGATCAAAGAATGCTCGAATTGTAGTCAATTGTAATTGTTTACACCTAAAGAATAAAATAAATGTTACAAATGAAACTTTCTTTAAAAATATACTTTTAATACAAACATAAATAATTCTATTATTTAATGGAATATACGAATTTCCTTTAATGCTGCAAACTCTAAAATTATTTAACAAATTATCATTATTAAGCATACATCTTAAAGCTGAAACCTATAAAAATAAAGTAAATTAAACCTTCCTGGATATTTGAGAGTATAAGTGTCAGGCCCCCGTCTTCCCTAAATCTTCCTGTCTACCCCAAATATAGACATATTGTCTGCCCTGTCTTCATATGTCTGAACTGTTGTCGTTCTTGCAAACACTACTGATTGCACAGCCAGAGGAAGGTGAAAAGAGAATCTTTAAGCCAATGCATATAGAGATAAAATACTAGGATTTATGTATTTCTTGACCCTTATTTAACCTATTTCTTTATTTATATTAAGAGTAAATCTAATTCCTACTTGGTTTTCCATGTGCTGCTCTAGAATAGGCAGTGCTGCATTAATCAAGTCTGAGTTTGGGGATTGGCCAAGAGCTCAGAAAGTCCTACCACAAGTATCTTTGATTCTGCCCAGCTATGACAAATTCTAAAATTATGACATTATCATTTGAGGCTGATGCTACTGGTTCTTCAGGAGATGACTTTATAGGTTGTCAAGGACACCTTGGTTAAACCGAGACAAGAACAAAGGCCGAAGTTCTAAACCCCTAAGTTAATCTTTCTCCCAAATCCTTATTTATTTATGGATTAAGCTCTAAGAAAGCTAACTAACCAATCAATTCATTGATGAGAAAAGAGGACCACCACAAATCGCCAAAATAAGTTATATTAACTTACCATACAATGGAGAGGTGGTCTGTTGAAACCCAGGTCTTAGGCACTGCTGAACTCTAAATGGAAAGAAACAAAAATCATACTTAAGAAAAATGCACTTGTTATTCTCCAAAAGGCTTGAAATTCTTATAGGCTAATATTTAGAAACATGTAACATTAGTTTCACTATTTTATGATGCGCAGAAATTTTTAAACGATGCACTCTTGTAAAAGGTGATCCAAAAATATTAAGATACTGAATATTTCCTGCATAAAATAATTCTTTGTCATTACTTAGTCAAGCTTAAATTACCCTTTAAAATTATTAAAACATCCACAGATTACTTACTGAAGTTTACTGTCTAACTCTTCATTACTCTAATAAGAGGTTAAGTTTATGATTAATAAATCATAGTGTATATATAAATTATAATAGATATTTCAGTAATTTTAGTTCTGACTAGACTATCACTTAATAAGTTCTAAGATGTTAATTCTAATCAGGATGTGCCTGAAAGATACCTAGGCCTGAGGAGATTTTTCAAAATAAATATGCCTAATCACAAAACTATCAAATCGGACTCTTGTAAGTGGGGTCCAGACTTATTTGGAAAAAAATCCCTAGATGATTAGCACATATACTACTGGTTAGAGAGAGAAGGGCAAAAGCCTAGTAAAAAATATAACTATTTTCAGAAGGCTTCCTAACAGTGGCACAGCACCCTCCAAGAACTAGAGACTTCGATTTATACAAGGTAATGACCTCCCTGTGAACAGCATCTTACATACAATGGGGAAACATTAAGTAAATCTGAAATTATTTTTCATGTCATCTTTCTCTCTACACTGTCAAAGACACAATGAGATGCCTTCACTAGAACTGTCAAAACAGAATGAAAATAGGAAACTAACAATGCTGTATGCAAGAAAATTTAGAGGCCTAACATGCCTCTTCGTTTTTGTTTTTTTTGATAAATTTATTTATTTAATTTATTTTTTGGCTGCATTGGGTCTTTGTTGCTGCGTGTGGGCTTTCTCTAGGTGCGGCAAGTGGGGGCTACTCTTCGTTGCGGTGCACGGGCTTCTCATTGCAGTGCCTTCTCTTGTTGCGGAGCACGGGCTCTAGGCAGGCAGGCTCCAGTAGTTGTAGCATGCAGGCTCAGTAGTTGTGGCGCACGGGCTTAGTTGCTCCGAGGCATGTGGGATCTTCCTGGACCAGGGTTCAAACCCACGTCCCCTGCATTGGCAGACAGATTCTTAACCACTGCACCACCAGGGAAGACCTATGCCTCTTTAATTTAAAAAAAAAAAAGGTATTTGTAACAAAAAAAGGTATTTATAACTTCTAAGGAGTCACTGAGTCATTGTCACCATTGTACTCTGCAAATATCAATGTGTATTTGGGTTGGAGGCTCTAAAGTTGAAGGAATCTATAGATTACTTAATGAACTTATAAGCATTAGCTATCTTACTTAGGAATTGCTGCTGGCAACTTACTTTAAAAAATTAAGACAACCAGAGTTCACTGTGGTTCTAAGGTTAGATGCTCAGTAAAGAACTCACAGTAGACATCATTTATTATTAACAAGGACAAAAGCTAGTTTACTTTCATTCAGTCTAATGAATGCATCTGTGTTACAGCTGAAAAAAGGAAAGTCAACACACATTATAAAGGTAGTTGCGGGGCTTCCCTGGTGGCACAGTGGATGCAGGGGACTGCCGTGCCCCAGTCGGGGAAGATCCCACATGCCGCGCAGCGGCTGGGCCCGTGAGCCATGGCCGCTGAGCCTGTGCGTCCGGAGCCTGTGCTCTGCAACGGGAGAGGCCACAACAGCGAGAGGCCCGCGTACTGCAAAAAAAAAAAAAATTAAATTAAAAAAAAAGTAGTTGCTCATGACCTTTGTAATAAAAACTGTTAAATGTCCACCAAAATCTTCTTCCTCTTTCATAGTTAACTAGAATGCATGTCTCAGCCTCTCTTATTCTATGGTGTGACTAAGTTTTCTCTGATGGGATGTGAAAAAGAGTGATGTATGCCATTTCCAGGCCTAACTGCTCTCCTTCATGCTCTTTCCCCCTTCCTGTGGATTGAAACAGTGATGATTAGAGCAACCTCGGAAGTAAAGCATTCAAGAAGGGGGAGCCTACTATCAGCCTGGGTCCCTTAGTGAGACTCCTCAAAAACCACCCGCCACGTAAACACACACCTAGGGCAGTCATATGAGTGAAACATAAAATTCTATTGTGTTTAAGTGCCATTGCCTGCATGAGTGAATATTACAGTAGTTCAGCCTACCCTACGAATATAACTAAAGTCTCTAACTTAAACAATTTTTCTAGTCCCAATGGATTTAATGTCATCTAACTGTTCCTGAGATAATCATTAAAAAAATTACTTCTTAATAATTGTTTTTTTAAAGAGAACATACATATAGATATATAAAAGACTGTAGATTATTTGAGAGCTAAAAGCTAAGTAATTAAATATTTAAAAACTAAATAAAACTCAGATTATACAGTAACCAGCTTTGAGAAAGTTCCATAATAAGTAAAATAATATTTTCATCAGAGATAGATGCCTTGAACACAATACATTATCAAATGGATTAGAAAAGAGGGAAGCACATGTCGGCCCCCCCCCACCACACACACACCATTAAAAAGACCAAATTCTTTAAAAGCTGCAGGAAAGGGTATCAATACAGCATCAAGCTCCAGACCAAGTCTAGGAAATAAGTTATATCCAATTTTATATGACTAAAACATCTATTTTTATACTAAGGAGTTCATATTTAGAGTTTTGAGAACTTCTAGCACATATCTGCCCAAAATATTCAGCATCAAAAAACAAGATTCCTACTGATGATGATGTTTGAGAGATTTACTAATTAGTAAATTAGTACTAATTACTTCCAAAGCTATTATGGCTACATCACAACTCCTTCAGTTATAAGAAAATGGTGGATAAGAGCAGAATAGCTTAATAATTTTTGTTCTATGTATGGCAAGCATTCAGTAATACCTATTTACTGAATGAACAGCAGTAGGTGAACTGAGCAAAGGAGTATCTATTAAGAGAACAACTATGAAACAAAGAACTATCATCTAAAAAGCAAAAGGAATGCTATAAATTTTCTTTTTAGAAATTAAGTTATATTTGGAGATGACGTGTATACTGAGTTTAAAAGTTAAGCTCTTAACTAAAGACTTAAAGGTTAAACATACAAAAATAAGTCCTAAAAGGAAACCTGAACTTATTTTACAGAAGCTGTGTATCCCAGTTAAAGACCAAATACTTGATGTCCTAGCAGGGAAGAATAATTAGCAAATTAATTAATCAGAGCTCTATCTATACTATCAAAGCTAATTTTTAAATTTTAAAATCAGTAAACCTTCATTCAAGTTTAAAATTCAAGAGTATGTGAAATGTTTGATCTTCCATTACCACTGTACACAGCATACCACTGAGATACACCCGGGGCCCCTGGACTTCAGCCCATACTTTTTTATACTTAAAACTCTAATCAATGGATAGGCACTTATTTTGAACAAGAAACAATCATCTTCATAAATAAGAGTCATTTGCACAAAGTTTCTAAGATCCTTTTCACCTTCCATGGATGTAAGTATCCATGCCTCTGTCTTCTCCAAATATTCATATTCATTGTTTCATGTTCTGTCTCTCTCACATACACATACACATGCACACTTGCATACACACAGTATACCAGACCAACTCAGGAATCATTTCTAACCGATTACATATCATTTCTCCTTTCATGCTCCACTGTGTCCATCATGTTACTACTTTAGTAGAATCTTTAAAAAGATTACCACAACAGATAAGGCACTGGTATGATGGCTTAATTTTGGTAGAAAAGTCAGTCCTGAACGAACTTGGTAATCCCGGAATCCTCCAGCTACAGACAGTGTGGTTAAATTTATGTGTCTAGCATTCAGAATCCAATAGTTGTTCACAGTCATATAAAAATCTGGTGGGAAATAAAAAAGACATACATTAAAAATCAGCAACCATGCTCTGCAACAATAACCCATCTATAATACTAATATTAAACTGAATTTCTGTTTAAGCCATCTGAATTGTCTATAAGCAATGCCATCCACATTTCTCTATTTTGGGTAAAGTCAGTATCTTTACACATACTCTACTTTCCCCATCAGAATACAAATACTAAGAGTTAGTAAAGGTATCAATAAAGAAAAAAGATAACCCAATTTTATTAGCTTTGACAAGTCCATAGCAAACAGGTCTCTACATTCCACAAGGATGCTGCTTGTTTATGAGCCACATAGTATAGAAAGAAACCCCCAAAATTATTCCAAAGATATAAGTTTACTATACTAAGGAGTTATATCAATAGATCTTCCTAATCATGGCTGTGTCCCTGCTTATAAGGGCTTAACAACTCTCTACTGCAGCCACTGTAGTACTGGTGACGAAACAAAGTACTATTTAAGTTCTTAAAATACAATCTATCAGGACAGTAACAGTCACATTAGGCTTGGGACTCTCCGCTCTGGAAAATCTGGTGCTTAAGAAGATTCTATCCATTTACTGTAACAAGTGGTGCAGACAATTTTTCCACTTTGTCTATGGAAGATGAGAAAAATTTAGTGTCGAAGATCTGAGGCCAGGGCAGGGGAGTTCTCATTTCCTAGTCTGATTATCAAAACTTACTGCATTTTTTATCCTGGCATTTGATCCCATTGATGGCTTTTAACATTTTGGAACAGCAAACTCTTCTCATTAAAGATCTCAGTAGTATTCACTTAGATTGAGACAAAGCAGACCCATTCCTATTATCTCCAGGGCTTGGGATAAGAGTTCCAATGAGGTATACATGCCATATGTCTAAATACTTAAAAGTAAAAATTCCAGCTAACAAACTTAAATCAAATGTATTTTCTCTGCCTACCTTGACAAATATATCATTGAAATAACCTGGAAGGCCAGGTTCAAATTAAGAATTCTAGGACACCTCAGAGTTGGAAACTGGATTATGGCAGCATAGGGAGAGCATATCTCTGGCCACAGATTGCTGTGGAGATCTGCAGCAAAGGGGGAACAGATCACTGTGCTCTCTTCTTCTTCCCATCCACATTCCATCCTGCATCAGAAAGACCTCCTGTGCACATCAAAATTCTGTCTGTACGTCATGCAGAGCCACCCCTTGGCCGTAACTCAAGCTCAGGATTCTATATACCTGTCCTCAGGACAGATCCAAGTAAGAGGCTAAGGCAGTGGGCTTCAGGCATATGGGCAAGAAAAGTCTGAAGGACTGGCTACCTGGATCATAGTCCAGAAGTAAAGGTACAGCCTGTAAGTGGGGAGCCTGCTTGGCCTGTACACTCCACACCCTGTGGGGGATGGCAACACGAGAGCAGGGCCCTCTGAAGTACAGAGCTCAGTGCAAGGCTTCCTTTCCCCTATTTAAGGACAGTATTTCCACCAAGTATAAATAGGGAATCTACTTCTGGAGGTCATATGGGTCTCCTAAAAACTTAAAATCCACCCTTGAACTTTTGTTTTTTTGTTCTAATTATGGCTTAATGCAATAAAAAATAAATACAGAATAAAAGGCATAGAAGCTTGCTAATTACTGGAGAGGCTCCCTGACCCTAAGAAGCACTTTCAGCCTAAGCCATTTAGAGACAGACCATCACTATCCTTCAAAAACAGTAAACCTGACTCTCTTGACAGTTCTTTGCTCAAAGAGATTTTTTAAATGCATTTTGAGTAATTATAATTTAACCTGCATGGCTCATCTACATATACCACATAAAATACAGTAAGGGAAAGAATTCTCAATTGTGATGACAAGTATTATGACTTGTCTATACCTTTAATTTTTTCTTAAACCTATTATAAATAATAATTTATAATTATTAGAATCAGTAAAGCATATTTAACCAACTTCAATAATAAAACTAAAAATTTTTATTAGAAGAGTTCTACAGGCAAAGTTTTAAATGTAATAAGGAAAAAAATCAAACTTCTCTTTAAGTGCTACTGCACCAGATATTCCAGCAAGTAAGTTACTCCTTGGCAATGTTATGTTAAGATGGGTGCTTTGGAAAACTACTTTGGTTTGGAGTCACTAGGGTATATGTCTCACTTATCTGTAAACAAAATTTTCACCACAATTAAGATAATGCAAATTTTTATAGGGTAAGAAGTTGTGTAAATTTACTGATTAGGAAAAATAATTATTTCTTTCTAAAGATTTTCTACTACACATACAGCATTCCAAAAAGCAGTGAAGATAATACTTGACTTTCTTTAATAAAAAGTTGAGATAGTAGGCATTTAATTCTTATTCTGTGACATTATCACTATTTAATTAGATGACAACAATCATAAACTTCTACTGTTCACTCAAAATTCCCTGCAACATTACAGTATTATCCATAATTTTATTTCCTCTGTTATCATAATGTAACTCAGTTCAGAGGCAGCATACGTAAATGGTAAAAGCACAGGCCCAGAAACAAGCTTGCTGGAGTCAAATACCAGCTCCACTATTTTCTTTGGGCAAGAACTTTATATCTTGGCCTCTTTTTTCTGTCCATGAACATGGCAATAACAATGGTACCTACCTCAAAAAACTGCCATAAGGATCAAATGATACAATAAGCATGTAAAGTTCTTACCACAATAACCAAAATATAATAAGAGCTCTATAAAGATTAGCAATCCTACCTTACCTCATCATATAAAGTGTTAGCAGACCTATTTATTTAAAAAAAAAACAAGGCATTTCTACTATTTTACTTAAATATAAGGTTATTTTGAATGAAGTACCCAGAGGAGTTAACAAAAAAAAGGAAGTATAAACACACTTTAAGAGACCAAGAGTCATCCTCAAGAATAACTAAAATGCAGCTAAGGTGCCTAGGGGTTATAAGACGCATGTTTTCCATGTTAAGATGCAAAAGGGAGAGAAAATTAACAGCAGTTTCAGTTATGAGCCTAAGTTGAAAGTCACTAAAAGAGATGCTCAGAATTGGAGGTGCTGATTTAAACCTAAGCTGCTTCACACATGGATAAACCTGTAGTATACTCTAAAGGGAGTAGTAGCTGCAAGGATCTGTTTAATCCTAAACAACAATGGGGAGGTCAGTTAGTGTTTATGTAACAGTACTCACCTGTAATGAAACGATCTAACGGCATCACAGGAGCAACATGAGGTGTTGCTTGTGTAATAAGAAGATTGATCAGATCCTGCTTAAAATTTTTCAACGTAAGCAATGCTCTTGCAACAAGGCCACCCATAGAATGACCAATTATTGCCACACTTTTTGGAGCAAATTCTTGACCCTATTTAAAAAATCACCAAGGCAGGATTAAGGATTAATATCATAATAAATATACTAAATACTTCTCTCTACATATGAGCAATTTCATAGAAAAAAGAAAATTAAACTATTTATATAACCTCCCATAATAAGAGACAGAAATACATTTTCATATATTTGTAATTAGTGTATACATATTTTGTGTTTTGCAAACATTTTTAACAGCTAGGCTTTGGTTTTCTGAACCAAAATCAGAACACTTGGTCTAGCAAATCATGTTTTTACCATTTGTTATACTGTATGTAAGAGGTGTAATTATATTTGGTGTATACCAGAATATTAGATTTCATAGGATATATAAAGTCAAATCATTTATTTGAAAATGGAAATAGCACAAAAAAGCCAGAACAGTTACAACTGCCACAGCAATATACTACCTCATCATGTTGATATACCCTATCTCATCAAATTCTTTCTCTATTGTGTGCCTGGGTTTAAAAAGAAGCCAGCATTCCACAACATCTATTCACTGACAATTACATATTTTATTTTTAAAATGTTTTTCTTTTTAAAAAATCTTTTGTCTCCACATAGTACCCTCAGTTCTACTACCAAACTTCTCCTCATCACCCTCCACGCTGATCCTTCATCTATGCCTCTTCTCCTGTTACTATGAATAAACTGGGCCTTGTGCAGAAGAGTTAAGAGAATAGGCCTGATACTGCTTTCCTTAGAACAGACGGCATTCAAGGTTGGCTCTGGGCTACAGTATGGGACCATAGATTTTGGGAGGGTTCTCATCATTCCTAAATGATAAGAATAGCTCGTTGTTCTAGAACTGTTTTGTAAACCACATGGTTTATGTTGAACACCTTCATCCTTCTGGTAGGGATTTTGGTACATGGAAGGCAGAGGCACAGGGTGTCTAGGTGACCAGCCCTCAATAAAAAACCTTAGCCACTGGGTCTCTAATGAGCTTCTCTCGTAGATGACATTTCATACATGTCACAATCGTTGCTGTAAGAATTAGACACATCCAGTGTGACTTTCCTGCAAGAGAACACTGGGAAGCTTGCACCTGGTTTCTCTGGACTTCACCCCATGTACCTTTTCCCTTTGCTGATTTTGCTTTCACGGTAATCAATCATAACCATGAGTACAACTATATGCTGAGTCCTGTGAGTCCTCCTGGAGAACATGGTTTTGGTGATCCCCAATACATATCTGATCATAGCAAAAGCCAAACCCTACATATGTGCTCTGAAACCTATTCCCTTTGGCCTTCTCAAGTACAATAACATCACTCTGGCAATTCTTCTCACTTTCTTCTTGCATCACTGTTTCTCCCTCTCTACTAGATCATTCTCACTAGTATATAAATATACTGTTACTCTCCCTTAAAAAATAGAAACAACTCTCTTTTTGCTTCTACTTTTCCTTAGTGACCACATCTTTCTCTATATACCTCTTTACAGTACAACTCTTCAAAAACAGTTGTCTACACAGTACTCGCTGTCTCCAATTTCTCATACACCCTTAAACCCACTCTGATCAGGCTTCTCCCCAACACTTTTTAAAAACTGCTCTTATCTGGTCACCAAGGAATCTAATGATCAGTTCTCAATCCTCCTCTTTCTTGACCTATCAATGGCATTTGACATAGATGATCACTTCTTCCTCTTTGAAATGCTTTGCTTGGTTTTCTTGACAAGATACTCTTCTGGTTCTCCCGTTACCTCACTGACTGCTCCTTTTTAGTCTCTTTCTGGTTCCTTCTTATCTCCCCTCATCTCTTAATACTGGTGTGACTCAGATCTCAGTCCTTAGATCTCTTCTTTCACATCTTGAATCCATTAGTGATCTCATGGCTCTATCAAATGCTGTCAACCTTCAAGTTATTATCTCCAGACGGGACCTCTCCTCAACTCTAACCTTAAATTCCAATTGCATGCTAGCTACACTTGGGATGTCTAGTATGTACCTTAAATCGAACCTGTCTAGAACTGAACTCTTAATACCCTTCAAATCTGTTCCTCCTACATTTCCCCCCATCCTGGTTAATGATAATTCAATCCTTTTAGTTTTTCTAGTTTGGGTCCTTCACTCTTTTCTCTCACATTACCCCTCCATACCTGATGTGCCAGCAAATCCTGTTGCCTTTAAGATTTACACGAATCTGACCATTTCTTATCACCTCCACTGCTATCAACTTGATCCAAATCACAATTATTTGTCTGAATTACTGCAACAGCTTCCTAACTGGTCTCTCTGCTTCTACCTTTACATCCCTTCAGTTTATGCTCAAGAGCATAACGAATGACACTTTTAAAACCTAAAAGAGAACATGTCATCCTTTTGTTCAAAAACCTCTTCAGTGGCTTTCCATATCATTTAAAATAAAAGGCAAAATTCTTAAAATTCCTACAAGGCTCTATAATCTGCCTCCTCCCAACCCCCCACCCCAAACTCTCCTTCTACTAACTCACTGTCTGTTCCAGTCATACCAGATTCCTTGTTTTTCTTCAAATACAGTTCACATGTGTTTGCCTCATATATTTGTTTCCTCTGCCTAGAGTACTTTCCCCAGATATCTAAATGGGCTACTCCCTCATGTCCTTAATTTGTATTAAACTGTCTGGAGGTCTTCACTGGGTACCCTTATTTATAATTGCAGTCTTCTACCCTCAACTCCCTATCTCCTTTTCCTGTTTTATTTTTCTTCCTGGCATTTTTCACCATATAAGATAGTATGTATTTTTCTTATTTATGATGTTTACTGTCTGCCTCTCCCTATTAGAACATAAGGTTCATGAGGGCTTGGACTTCTGTTTTATTCATTCTTATATTTGCATGCAGACTCATATGATGAATGAATGTGGTTTTCTCTACCTAAAATGTCCTCTCACTTTCCCACACCCAAACCGTATCCATTCAACAAGATTCAGTTGTCTCTAACCCCTACTGTACTTGCTTGTAATAGAAATATTACTCTCTAAAAGCCTCAATTTAAAGAAAGTTTGTTTTATTATAAATTTAGTATTTGTTAGAGAAAACATGACAACAAAAAATAGAGAAGGAAAACAAACTACCTAGTATATAACATTAAAGACATGATTGTTTATTGTGAAAGTCATTTATGGAAATAATTCTCATTTTGTAATCACATCTTATTTATCTTATCCAATAAATACCAGATACATTAAAAAGTCCTGTTTCATCCTATGGCTTGTTTCATTCTATAATCAGTGTAGATTTAAGCTAAAAAATACTTGCTGTTGAAGTAATTTTAAAATGCTGGCTTATGCAAAGAATCATGATGCCTAAATTTCATTTTCAGGATACACAGGAATACCAATGCCTGGATTACTGTAGCTTTATAGGTAAGTCTTGAATCAGGCAGTGCATGTCCTCCAACTTTGTTCTTTTTCAAGACTGGTCTTTTTGATTCTTTCCACATAAGCTCATCAGTTTTTTAAAAAAACAACTGCCGGTATTTGATTTGTATTGCATTAAATCTACTGGTCTGTTTAGGGAGAATTTACATCTTAATCTTGACTCTTCTAATCCATAAAGCTGGTCTGTTAATTTATTTTGGATTTCTTTAATTTCTATCAGCAAGGTTTGCAGTTTTCAGTGAACAGATCTTGCACATCTTTCATTAAATTTATCCGTAAGAATTTATCCTGTATACTACTGTAAATGCATTTCAAAATTTCACCTTCCATTTGCCCATTGACTTTTTTTTTTTTTTTTTTTTTTTGTCCATTGACTTTTGAATATTGACCATTTACCTGAGACTTTGTTAAATTCACTTACGGATTCTAAAAATTTTCTGTAAATTCCTTTAAATGTTTCTGTATACTTATGTCATCTGTGATTACAGATAGTTTTAATTCTTCCTTTTTAATCTTTATTAATTTTATTTCCTTTCTGGCCTTATTGCACTAGCTAGGACTTCTGTACAATGTTGAATAGGGATGGTGGGAGGAGAGAGAAACTGAAAAATGAAGGAAGGAAAAAACCGTCTGTATACAACATTAAAGATGTTTGATTATTTATTGTGAATAACATTTATGGAAATCTCATTTTATGATCACATTGTATTTATCTTATCCAGCAAAATCGATACATAAATGGTCCTTAACTTAATACAGCTTGTTTCCTCCCATAATACTATGCATATGCATGATACTCGCAATTCCTCAGCTTGAGGAAGTTTGCTTCCATTCCTACTGTGCTGAGTTTTATGTTCTTTTTCCTTAAATTATGAATGGGTGCTGAATGTAGTCAAATGAGTTTTCTTCATCTATTTAGATGATCCTATAATGAATTACATTGATTGATTCTTGAATATTAAACAACTTTGCATTCTTGGGATAAATCCTACTTCGTTATAATGTATTATACTTTAAAATACTGCTGGATTTGATAGCCTAATTTTTTGTTTAGAATTCCAAAAAAAATTTTTGGGCCATACTGTGCGGCATATGGGATCTTAGTTCCCCAACCAGGGAGTGAATCCGCGCCCCCTACATTGGAAGGCAGAGTCTTAACCACTTCCCCACCAGGGAAGTCCCTTTTTTTGTTGTTTTCTTTTTTGTTTTGGTTTAGAATTTTATATCTATGTTTATGAGGGATATGAGGTCTTAATTTTCTTTTCAAACAACTGTCACTCATTGTCTGATTTTGACAGTCAGGGTTTACTGGTTTCTTAAATGAAGTGTTGTTGTCTTCTTATTTTCTGAGTTTGTGTAAGATGGGTATTATTTCCTCTTTAAATGTTTGAAAGAATTCGCCACTGAAGTCATTTAGCTCTAGGTTTTTCTTGGCAGTAAGATTTTTAATTACAAATTCAAAAAAATTCTAAACAGATACAGAGCTAGTCAGACATTGTTTCTTCTTGTACCTGTTTTGTAATTTATGTTTCAAGGGATTTGTGCATTTCATCTGAGTTGTCAAATTTATTGACATAAAATCTTTCCTAACATTCCTTTAATAGCTTCTTAGTATCTGTAGGCGCTG